CCCCTAAAAATCTTATTCAATTGAATCAAAATTCCCCTCATATATGCCTTACTGGCATCCCAAACCATGGACATCGATGTTCCCTTATTCATGTTTATAACAAAAAAGTCCTTTAAATGCTCTTTACATTTTTGTACAAACTCTTCCCGAGTAAACAAATTCTCATTCAATCTCCAGGGTCTTCTATTCCCATCTTCCAAATGTAATTCCATCCACACCGGACTGTGATCTGAGAAAGTTCTAGGGAAAATTTTCACCTTCCTCACTCTAGAAAGAAGGTCACTAGTAATGAAGAAAAAGTCAATTCTTGAAAATGATTGATGTCTATCCGAATAAAAAGTGAAATCTCTATCACTTGTATTCCTTTCTCGCCAAATATCAATAAGCTCCAATTCTTCTTTCAAATCAAAAAAAGTTTTAGGTAACCTAGTTTGGGTAAAAGTTTTAGAAGAGCTCCTTTTATCTATAGTTGAATCTAAAACCCCATTCCAATCACCCATCAAGATTACAGATTTATAATCCAACTGGGATATCTTTCCATGCAAAAACTTATAAAATTGTTTCTGTTGCTGATTAGGAGCATATAATCCAACAATAAGAACTTTTTTACCTTGTAATGATAATTCCACAAAAAGATATCTTCCTTCAGAGTCAGTCTCAATTAATTTAGATGGAAAATTTTTCTTCACGTAAATTACCACTCCCCCTTTTTTCCCTGGAGCTGGAGCAATGAAATGTGAACCCAAACGAGGATTCATCAAATGTTTGGAGTCCTTTAAAGTTATATGAGTCTCTTGCAAACATATCAAATCATTGTTGTGTTGTTTCAAATAATGGAAAACCTTTCTTCGTTTCTGTGGCACATTTAAGCCATTAACATTCCAGGTCAGGAGCCAGGCCATCTCCACCGGCCTGGAGCCTCTGGAGCATGGCCTGCAGATCCACTGTCGAAAATCTTTTGGGTCTTGCCCCTCCCACAGGCTCTGTAATAACCATGCCTTCAACTTTATCTCCACTCTTCTGCTGCTGCTCTTTTTCTTTACGTTTATGGGCAGCTCGTGTCATCCTTTGTTCTTTTATCTCAAAATTCTGTACAGCTTGTTCCATAACCATCATTGATGAGGCTCCTGCCATAACAGGCTCTTTCGTTATCCTTGTTTGTGGGGGTGAAGACGATCTTGCCTTTAAAATAGAATGATAAAAATCTCTTGCCTTCAGAACTGTAGTTAATCTATGACGTATCCCCTCATAATTCACTATTATTCCTCTTGGAATCTCCCATCTAAACTGGATTTGACGATGCTTTAACTCATCAGACAGAAAAGCAAAATCTTTTCTGCCTCTTAAAATTTTGGGAGGTATTTCTTTTAAAATTATCACATCTTGATCTGCAATTTGAAACTTTTGTTTGTAAAAAGCCTGTATAATTTCATTACGAATAAATCTTCTAGAAAAGTAGATGACCACATCTCTTGGTAAGTTTCTCTGTCTAGCAACCCGTGAGTTGACTCTAAAAAATTTTTCTATCTCATTCCCAATTATTTCAGGCCTCCAGCCCAGATTAAGAGCAATATCTTTCACAATAAGCATCTTTATGTCCTCCTAGGGATTCTCTCTCAGCCCCCTGATACGCAATGCATACTCCATCTCTTTATATTGTGACATAATTTGCTCATCCTGTGTGATTTCTATCTTATTCTCTACCTCCTCCATCCTGAATTCCATTTTTGTTACATTTTAAGTAATCTCCTCGATTCTGTCGTCAATCCTCTCTATGTGCAGAGCAAGGCCCTGAAAGGCAAAGAGAATGTCCTCCCTTATTTGCTTATTTTTAGTCTCCAATAGTTCTTCTGTAACAGCCCTCTCTGCAATTATAAGATCTTTTACTTCTTCCTTAATATCCAAAGCATGCTTTTTTAAAGCTTCTTGTAAATCTTTAAGAGAAATTGCAGGAGGAGGAGAGGGTGGAGGTAATTTTGGTTTCTGGGAAACAGGCTGGGTCATTGGGGAAGAGATAGTGGCTTTAGGAGGAGGAGGCAGACGTTTTGAAGCCATTTTTATTAAGTTCTAAGAAGAAAGATTCTTGTTTAAAAAAAAGGAAAAGAAAAAATCACAGTTCTTTTAAATATTCCTTAAAAAAGAAAAAAAAATTCAGCGAAAAAAGAAAGAACAAGAGATAAAAAAACAATTTCTTGCTTCTATATTTAAAGCATTAGTCTGTATCCGGATTTTAACTTTGTAATACAGATCAAACAAGAAAGACAATCGCCATTTTGCCTTTCACTTTCCCTTTCTTCAAAAGGGAAAGTAAACAAAAAAAAGGAGGGGAAGATGCTTGCAGGAGTTAAAGTCACAATAAATCTTAAATCCACTTTCTCCTGGTCTGCTCCGTCTGCATTTGAATACTCACAAGCCTCCAAAAAAAAGCAGATGTGGGAGCAACGCCTTGCTTCATCCCAGAACTTCGGGACAAAGACGTGCTGGAGTGCGGAGTTGGCTCAGGCTCCGAGGGAGCTCTACCCTCCGATCCCTGAAATTATGGGGATCCAGGGGAGCTCTTACCTCTACCTGAGCAGCTCTTCTCTTCCCTTTCTCCCAGGGAAGAGATTCAAGCCACAGGACAGCTGATTGTAAAAGTCCTGCGGCTTTTACACAACCCAGAACGGGCTGCTTTGTGAAAAGCAGCCATCGTAGCTGCTTGATCCACAGGAAGTCCAGCTCTTGAATATTTTGAGCCCATTTAATCATACAATCTTTAACTAACTCCATTTCAGAATCCATTTTTATTGTTATATCAAAGTCTTGTAGATTTTTTCCTGTTTATACTGGATTACAATACTTTTCATTTGTAGCTTCATCGATATGATCATGTTCTTCCAATTTGTGTTCTGTTATCTGATTTGTTTGTTCATTTGCCATCATTTTTGTTGTTTTTTTATTGTAGATTTAGACTGGAAATGTGCTTATTTATGTTGTCAAAGTTCTGAATTTCCTTGTTGTTTACATCTATTGTCTTTGTCTCTGTCATAACATTGTATCCATTTCCTCTTGGAAAGTATTTGTCTTGCCTTGAAATATTACTTCTGAAAGTCTTTGATGTTCCAGGCTAAGTCCTTCAGGAGTGAATATTGAGTGTGGTGTCCTGTCATTTGTTCATAAGTGTACGGTATCCCTGTTGTCTCCCCCCTTCAAAAAGTCTTTCATCAATATTTTAATTCAGGGGTTAATTATCAGTCAAAATTGCAATTCAGTATGTTAAGCCACCTTTGAGCCCTTCCTGTAGATTCTCCTCTAAAAGAGTTGCCAAGAGCCAAAGTTTTTCTTTTTCTCTAAACAATTCTTAGATTTAGTCAACAGTTCAAATATTTTTCTTTCAGGCACATTTTAATCTTATGGCTGGGCATCTCTTACTTTGTTCCCAGCTGTCTTCAAGGTCATTTAAAATTTAAAGGAACAGATTATTCTTTGTTTCATAGGCTTCCTGCTAGTTTCTGAGTCATTATTGTTAGTGTTCTGTGCTCTGATTCTCCACTAGAGGTTAGTAGTTATTCATTTTCCATTTTTTTCAGACCAAAAAATATTGTTTTATATATATATATATATATTATAATTTCATTAAAACCCTTTTAGGAGTAGTCTCAGCAGGTTTTTTTTTTTTTTTTTTAGTTTCTAGACTTGTCCAGACTGTAGTATTTTAAATTTAATTTCAATCTATTTCTTTCTCCTTTAGTATTAATTCACCGCTTCCGTCTAGAAGGGAATGGAGATATAGTCCCCTCCCTTCACTTTCGGAGGTTCTCTTTCTTTGGGGGTCTTTCCCAAGGATTCAGTTAGTAGATAGAAGAGAGAAGATCAATACTCTCACCAGTTCCAAGCACACTGTTCACCAATGTTCTTGTTTGTGCTCTTGGACTTTGGCTGAAGGTAGCTTGGGCTGGATGCTGATGCAACGGCAGCCTTTCTCCTGTTGGGTCAGAGGGCTTCCCCTGGATCAAACGAAACGACCATTGTCATTTTGTGATCTATGGAGCGTCCCTCCTTCACGTCCCCTCTTCGGGGCAACTTCAGACCCATTTAGAGTCCCCCTGGCAGGACGAATTTGGCCACAGGGAGCGGAGCTTTGCTATCCCGCGGCCACACACTACAATGCAAAACAGAAGTCCAACAATTTCTAGTTCTTTTAAATTAGTGTAATTTGAATTAAAATAAAGAGAGAAAGCTGGCAACTGTATGAAGATTTTCATCAAGATAGACTTTTGATTGGATCAAATAAGTTTGTTTTATATTCCCTCTTACATTGTACAAACCAACTTTATATTAACCCAAATGAAAGCTTAAATCCTTCTGAAAGTGTACTTCTTAGCAACAAAAGTAAACTGCTTAAAGTGCATACAGGAAGCACTCTGCCAGAGCCACTATGAATATTTGCATGGGGGGGAGGGAATGCCATATATGATACAGATCTTGGTTAACTATTCAAGAAAAGGGGGGGCAACTGAAATCTATAGCACAGGGGAGGGATTCTTAGGGTTTCAAAATCAGCCAAGATTCTTTGCTGGCCTTCTGTTCTGCAGCATTACAGTACTTGGAGAAATCTTAGAATGCTTGACCTCATGCTTATATCACTGCTTTTTCTCACAGAAGCATGGAAAGTGGCCTTGTACTCAGACTATTGGTATTAGTATTTCAACATTAACTGGCAGCAGCTTTCTAGATTCAAGTTGAGTTTTTCCACCTCTTCCTGGAAATATTGGTCTTTCTGTGTGGAAAAGTAGATCTCTAACACTAGACAAGCTATTGTCAGTGGATATAATGGTGTGTTTTTTTCTCTCCCAGAAAGTTCTTGGTATAAACTAGGCTGTTTTATTGGTTAACTATTGTTTCATGGAATCTGAAAATTGTTGCCATATATTGAAGAAGAGCAGTTACAGACCTTTGGTTTCATTTGCGTTTTTTTCAAGAAGTGCTAAGCTCTTTATCCACTTTTTTATGCTGTATAGTTTATATCGTATTTGATTTTGAAACCTGATGGCAACATAAAGTCCTCACTTGGAAAATTCCTTAATGAAGAGAAAAAAACAGAGCTTATACGAACAGTTAAGGCCAATACGGAGGATGTGGTGTTGCTTGCTGCTGGCCAACAAAAAAAGGTGGTAAGTAGAATATTGATGCCCTTAAGTCTTTGGGCACCAGCAAAAATAAATTTAAATTTAAATTAAATCTGGTTTACCGGACCAGCAAGAAATCACCTGCAACTCTACTTGGTGCTTGCATTGATAAGCTGTTCCTGATTTTAAACTGAACATTAATTCATCCTTGAATAAATTACCTTCTTTTATCACTGCATTTTCAATTGGTATTTAAAAAAAAAATTAAGAAAAAACTGGTTCTGACAATTACAAGTTGATAATACAGGTAATCCCCGAGTTACGAGTGTTCATTTAATGTTCATTCAAAGTTAACGTGATGAGCGCCCCCTAGTGCTTATGAGCAAGTCCCAAAGTTATGAATATTGCAGCACCATGGCAGTCGTTCACCCTTACGAGCGACCGCAGTGGCACTGCAACATTCACCCTGGTTAATCTCTCCCTCCCCACCCCAGTCCGGGTCTCCCTAGGCACCAGGCCTTCAATACTCACCTTGTGAAGATCAAGATCCATCGCTTTCTTGACTGCTCCAGGCCTCCAGTGTATTTGCAGAGAATGGAGGCCTAAAGTAACACAAGATCACGCAAGATCAGTGGGGCAAGATCTCACGCTACTGATCTCGCATAATCTCATGGAACTTTAGGCCTCTATTCTCTGCAACAGAGAACACAACCGAAGCTGGGAGACACTTTCACGTGTCTCCGGAGGCTGGATCAGGACGTCTGAGGCCTTTTCCAGGCAGCTGCCACCCAGTTTTGAGGCTGGGGAATGCTTCTGCGACCACACCCACACACACCCCCGCGGCCCAATCTGGCCTGCAGAAGCCTTTTCCAGGCCTGCCCGGATTTGAGGCTGGGGAACACTTCCGCAATCCCTCTGCAGCCCGATCTGGGCTCCAGAGGCGTTTTCAGGCTGCTGCCGCCCAGATTTGAGGCCAGAGAGTGCTTCCGCGCACTCCCCGTGGCCCAATCCGGGCTCTGGAGGCCTTTTCCAGGCCTCCGGTGGATTTGAGTCCGGGGAACGCTTCTGCACACCCCAATCCGGGCTCCGGAGGCCTTTTTCAGGCCGCTGCCGCCCGGATTTAAGGCTGGCGAATGCTTCTGCAGCCACCTCGCGGCCCCGCAGCAGCGGCCTGGAGAAGGCCGCCGGAGCTCGGATCAGGCCGCAAGGGGGGGTTGTCTCAGAAGCATTCCCTCGGATTGGGCCGCAGAAGCATTTCCAGGCCTGGAAAAGGACTCGGAACCCAAATCGGGCCGCAGGGAATGCACGTAAGCATTCTCTGGCTTCAAATCCAGGCGGCGGCAGGAACCATAGCAGAGAGGAGACTGATCTTTTCCAGGTGAGTCTGGCACGGCAGGAAGGGAGGGGGAAGCATGCAGTATCTTAGTGGGTTGGGGAGGCCTTTGTTTCAGTACTAGGCCCTCCATGGCCTTCTCCATCCTGAAATAGCTCTTGTTCGCTTAACAAGCCGTGACCGTTTTAACGAGCAAGGGAGTGATCTCGTACCTCGAACGAGATTCACTCTACGAATTTTCGAGTTACGAGTGGAGTGGGCAGGCTCCATTACACTTGTAACTTGAGGACTACCTGTAATACACTGCTTGAAGTTAGAGGTACAAGTGTTGGAGGCCTTGGCACCTTGTCCACCTTTTTCCTCCTTTTGTTCTCTCATTTGTTCTCAGTGCTCTGCATTAGGAAAGCTACGCTTGAAGAGTGCTGAACTTCTGGAAGCAAAAGGTCTGTTACTTCGTGACCCTTCTGCCTTTCACTTCCTCTGGGTGGTAGAATTCCCACTTTTCCTCTCCAAAGAAGAAAATCCTGAAGAATTAGAAGCTGCTCATCATCCTTTCACTGCTCCCCATCCCTTGGATGAGCATCTCCTCTACTCAGATCCCAGACAGGTGCTTTTATGTTTTTTAATATACACACCAGACAAAGAATTGGACAAGATGAGAAAAGCAAAAGATTTTTTGTAATTGGCAGTTTAATCTTAGGGAAAAAAATCTACCTTATCTGAAGAAAATGTACTACAAAATCAGAGCCAGAGAAAAAAAGAATTATACATATTATGGTTTCCTTGGCCTCTGATTATCTTGTTAATTTTATTTCTGTCAACTTCAATTGTATAGTTTCCATTAGTTCCAAAAGCACTATTGGGTGGGATTTGTTGTTTCACAAGGATTTTAGCAGATATATTTAACAATACAAATTACATTGTTTCCTTTTTTTTTCTCGCTAGATTAGAGGTCAGCATTATGATCTGGTATTGAATGGTAATGAGATTGGAGGTGGCTCTATTCGAATCCATAATGCAAAGCAGCAGCGTTTCATACTTGAGACAGTTTTGAAGGTAATTATTTGTATTGAAATAGTCTTGTGTATTTAATTTGAAATCAGCAAATTTCATAATACATAATACTTAGCAATAGCACTTACTTACATACTGCCACATAATGCTTTATAGCACTCTCTGGGTGGTTTACAAATATCAGCATATTGCTCTCAACAATCTGGGTCCTCATTTTACTGACCTCAGAAGTATGGAAAGCTGAGTCAACCTTGAGCTGGTTGGCATCGAACTCCAGGCTGTGGGCAGAGTTTGCCTGCAATATTTATTCTAACCCCTGTGCCATCAGGGTTGCCTAAACATAGTTTCAACTGGGAAACTGTAAGCATCCTAGATTAACTGAAGTCCAAAAACACTAAAGAATTCCTGAAATCAGCCATCATCAGGCACATAGAGATAACCATTATCTATATGTCATTCAAAGGAGACTATCAAAAAGCCAAAAAGGAAACAAAAAGCAAAGAGCAAAACACTCAACAATACCCAGATGAGCAGAGATAAACACCAAGATTAATGCAAAACAATGTTCAAGAAGCAAACAATATCCAAGTTAGTTTTAATGCCTATCGATTGTGATAGCTATTTTATTCTTTTATTAGAAGAAATATGCAGTGTTTGTCAGTGCAATTTTATTTTACATTATCTTTAACTATTGTTAGAAATTTTAGTATTCTTTTAAAAAAGAATGAATATACAGGAAAGCTACATTTGCACTCTGGCTCTGCCTGTGGATTTCCCTAAGTAACTGTTTGGTCACTCTGTGAATAAAAAGCCTGTTTGATCTACTTCTTACATTCGTAGGAGGACACTGAACTGCTTTTTCACCTCCTTGAAGCACTGGAGTGTGGTGCACCCCCGCATGGAGGAATTGCACTAGGTCAGTATCTTTTTTTAAAAAAAATAATGATTTTGCCACATACAAGAAATTAGACTACCTTACTTTTATAGTCCCTTCCAGTGTGAGATAGAAAGATCACAAAAGTCAATTCATTTTTTCCTGAATGAAATTATTCCTATTTAGAAACCCACACATTTTTTTGAAGTAAAAAATCTGTTTCAGGGTTGTTGTTTTTCTGTTGTAGTCTGAAGTGTTCTGAGTAATCTGTGCTCTCACAAATAAAACACTTTCTATTTTTTTCTCCAAACTGCATTTACAAGAACTGGTACCTTGATGAAAGAGCAAAGATAATTCATGCAAACATTTCCCAATATCCCCCCAAAAAATTTTTTTAAGGCATTGTTATAGCTAAGCCAGAAAAAAATCTGCTGTGTAAATCCTTTGGCTCATTAAACAAAACAAGTATGTAATGCTATATACAGATTCTTCATTTATCAATCATGTTTGTCAAACCCTTATTCTTTATTCTGACTTATTTTTATCTCAGTGGAGCTAGAAACAGAACAATAATGGTTTGTAAATTAGTTATTTTTACAAGAGAAATGGAAGCTTTTCTATTTGGGTCCCCAGTCATCAAAAAGGCAACATACTCAGCAAAAACGTTACATAGCTTTATTGATTCAGCACTTGAATACTTATCCCTTTAATATATTTCTCAATTGCAGCACAACCCTTAAAGGCACTTTGCTAAGCAGCATGGTTTTCCCAACTGACATAAGCAGAGAGATTATTTAAATTAATGAAAGATGTTATAATTTTTTCATTCCAGAAAAATTCTCAGCATGGAAAAGATAGCAAGAGAAGTAACAGGTAAAAAGCAGTGAGTGTATCGAATAAGAAGCTCTTACATTTTACATGCATTATGTTTCACCCTTCACAGACTTTGTCTGTTTTATAATCTAAAAGTGTTAGACAAAGTACCCACAGCTTTTTCCTGAAGTGAACCTTACATTTATTTTACCCATACAATATATTTTATTAATGGAGGTATACAGATATACTTTTTACAGCTTCATTGACAGCTGTAGGATCCTTTCTCCAAAATCTGTTTAACTTTATTGCGCTATTAATATCTGGTGCATTTCTTTTTCAGGGCTTGACAGACTGATTTGCCTTCTAGTTGGAGGTTCGAGTATTCGAGATGTCATTGCTTTCCCTAAATCTTTCAAGGGAAGAGATTTAATGAGCAATACTCCAGATTATGTTGATCCGCAAGAACTTGAGCCATATCATGTGCAGGTTACATGGCCTTTGACAGAAGCCAAAGCAAGGACTAACTGAAAAGTACCTATTCTTGGGAAATCTTAACAAAGCCACTAAATTTGTCACTAACTGACAGATTATCCATACGATTTGTAGGAAAAGTGAACTGCTGAAAGAATCAAGGGCATCCTTCGTTATACCAGAGAAATTTCTTTTGTGTTGCCTTTGTTCTAATCTTATGTTCAAAAGACAGCATGTCCTATTATTATTGTTATGTAGTGATATAGTCAGATGCAGTCTTGACATTTTGTTGTGTTGCCTTTATGTATGGACGATCTTCATAGTATATGTAAATGTTGCAGGGATCATTACTAGATAACCAGTGTGATTTGGCCATACTGGGAGGTATTGAAACTACTCTACAGATTTTTGATGTGAAAATCAGTTTTATTTTAAAAACAGTAGTTATTTGAAACCTAATTGGGGGAGTTATTCTTCAGGGTTTTAAGTACAAATACAGTATAGCCAGTTATGGAAGCAGTTTGTTAAACCTGATCAGATAGCAAAAATGGCTAATTTCTCTAATACAAGACAGTATAAAAAAATGGTAGGAAAAAATAGAATCATTTCAGATTATATAATTTGGTTTTTGATTTTTTTACCTAAATAAAACTCCCAATTATATTCAACCATAATAGAGTCTATTGGTGATTTCAGGTTGTTAGGTTTGTTATATATTTTTCAAAAATTCACATTTGAACAGCTATTACTTACATAGTTTTGTTGAAGGTCTGCAATAAACATTTGTGCTTTCCACTGTTATGTATTACTCCATCTCTTCCTAATTGCCAAGTTACCAAACAAAACAACAAACTATTACTTTTCTGTTCCCACAAGGCCCCTAGTGCCTACAGGTCTCACATGGAAATAATCACTTCTGGGAGGACCTCTAGAAAGCAGCTGCAATTTTTGAAAATTAAGAGGTAAAATGATTTATCCTCCCTAATAATGTTGGATACACTTGCCCATCCTATATATACCTCTTTGGGAATGGCATCTTATTTTTATAACTGTTATGTTTTACTCATCTTTGCCTGACTGTACAAAAGAAAAGTTGTAGGTACAGCTTATTTAATTATCCAATAAAGTTTAATAAGGTACCAATTAAACTGGACATTTTTTTTCCAAGTTGTGCTTCCTGAAAAACCTTTGGCAATTATTATAGACCCCTTCAAACTGAGCAAATATATATGTATTTAATCACATTTCCTACATTTTTCATGGGGCAAAAGTGTTTTACTGCTGAATTTCATTTGACTGGGTGTCCAATGCATTTTGCTGCAATGTCCAGCAAGTTAGCCAACATTCGTGGATCTCAATTGTTTTTCCACTGTGGCAATGTTCTGGTGAAAACTTTCAAGATGTTTGTCATTGGCAGCACTTCAGATTTTGGGGAAATAAGCTCAAGTGTGAATGCAGAAAATAAATCTTCAGTGACATTTCATGGTTTTGGGTGCGGAGGATGGAGTCTAAGATGATATAAAGTTATCCTTTAAAAAAAATAACCTTTTTCTATTACTTTTCTGCTGGAAACCAATATTTTTACTGTTTTTTTTTTTGAAGACTGGTATTTTTATTATTTCTCCTACTTGGAAAAGGAATTTATTTAGCGTATGGCATAAAATGTCAGGGAAATCTACAAATATTAGACAATGAAGACCTGACAGCCTAAATTGCTAATTCATTGTGTTTAGTGCTTGTGTGCCTATCCTTGGTGCAGTGGCGGGCAAACTAGCTTACACCAGATGACTAGCAGTACTCTAGTCTCGCCTTGCCTTGTGTCACAACGCCTCACATCTAGCCAGGTCCACATAAGCACAGCTGGGATTTTCCCACCAGTGAGTGATACCCAATATTGCATACTTTCAAACTGCTGCATGGACAGGAGGAAGAAGAGGCAGCACTCACATTATCCTCAGACTTCACCCAAGCCTGCTAAGTTAATATATTCCCAAAAAATAAACAGCCTCTTGCCTTAACAAAAACTCTCCTACATTTCATGATACAAGCACATAAGTGATGCTTGAGCAGGGTCCACAGAATTGTTTGGGACACTATGTATCCTCTTCATGACCTGTTTTCCTTGTTACCTTCTGAGAGCAGGCTTCCTGGCATCCAAAGCCGAACATCCAGAATCAGTGTTTTGTTCCATATAGTGTGAACTTGGGAACTCCCAAGTTTATTTTCCAGTGTTCAAGATGGACAGTGATTAATACTTATGTGTACACACACACACACACACACAGGCATAGGTGTGTATACACGCACACACATGTAGCATGTGTATATGCAAAAGCAACAGAATTTCATTTTTAATGTAGGCCAATGTGCTCACAGTAAAAACTGACAATAAAGGTTATGATATGACCCCCTGGAATGGGATCTACAAGCAGAGAGCTCCTAACTCTTTTAAGACCTGCCACTATCCCCAAAAAGCTTTCCTTTTCAGATCACAGCCATTTATCCAGCTGCTGCAAGGCTTATCCAACAAGGGGATGAGGAACTAAAAAAACAAAAATGTTAAGACTCCATAACCTGATAATACCTACTGAGGACACAAACAATTTTGTGAGTTCTGACCAGTTAATAACAAAGTAGGCACACTAAAAGGCCTCTACTATGCTTAGTCATCCAAGTACTGCTACTGAGTCAGCTAAAACAAGCTCATGCAGGGGCAATTGTGAATCAAAAGCAGACAATAGTGGTGGCAAAGGTGGATCCTAATTTGAAACCCATTGTGTGTGGAATAAGCAATGAGATCTAAACTTACATCCAGGTGTGCAAAAGCAAGTTCCCTCTTCCAGGAAGTATTGATGAAAGACAAGTAAATCATATCAGTTACAGCTAAACCAAATCATTCTTATTCAAAATAGAGGAAAATGGGGACGTGGGACTATTCTCTTCTTCAGTCAGCTTCTATATTGTGAAAAGCAAATTAGTTGATTTGCAAAGTCAAATGCTTTCCCATTAATATGCTGAACAAATTCATTCAAAAATCCTACTGTATTGCCAACCTATTGTTCAAAATGAAACCTTTTTGGAACAAGCATGAAGTCTTCCCACAGAGGGAGAGCTCATCTTGGCAATAAGAACATTGGGGACAAATCTGATAAGCATAAAAAGCTTGACAATCGGAGGAAATTAACAAGAACCCATATAGCTGCCAAACTTCTAATAGATCTGGTTACCTTGACTACCCAAAGGGTGGGGGGAATGCCTATTTTGAAAAATCCATCTGTAGGTTTATCCCTACTTCAGCACAGGCCATGGAAGAGAACAAAATAGCCCTTGAGAAGTTTCCACCTACTCCCCGATAAAATATCACCATACATGAAATGTATGTAACAGAGATCACATCAAGGTTGATAGACAAGATGGAGCCCAAATCTTGGTGAGTTACTAACAAAGGATGGTCTTGGAATAAGACTGAGTTACAAGTCATCCTTAGCTCAATGCTTCTAAAAATAAATACAAGTGCAAGCAAAATCACCAGTTGGGGTTACAGCTCATGAAGCAGTTGAAAATGGACTAAGATGAAAATCTGAGGCAAGAAAATTTCCCTCATCTCGAAATAAGCTCTCCTGGACTTTAATACTATTCTGAGTTGCCTTGCCTGCATTTTTTCGGACACTTAGCACTGAAGGAATTGTGGATAACATTTTTTTGTTGAATGAATGAAAAATCCATGTTTCTACCCAAAATTCCAAAACCTTCCCATCATGCCTGACAATATTAAGTACAAGGATTGGAGGCATAACAACTCGCTCCCAATTACCTCTTGTTCCTACAGCATTTGATAATTTTGATGTGATTGTTTCAAAGAATAGCATTGACTGTGTATGGTGTAATTTGTATAACAAGCCAATTATAGAACAAAATGAGTAGCATTCACGCATGTGAGCTGCTTTCAGCCTAAGCATGCCTATGCCCAAGTTCCACAAATATTATGATATATCCCAAATGCATGCCTGGACACGCATAAATTACATAAAGCGTCTTATAACACAAATGAAAATTAGTAAACTTAAAATATGTAAAAGAAATTGCAAAAACAGATGATGTCTATTAGTTTATTTTCATCATTAGTGGCCAAAAATCTGCCAGATAGACCCAAGTATTCAGGAAGCAAAATCTTTATTGTCCGGTCTTTATTTTTTTTTTTAATCTGATGACATCTCTGATGACATCTAATTTAGATTCCAAAATATCTTCCAATATATTTGTAATTAATAATTTCTGGACAGGTTCTCAGATCTGAAAAGAGAAAAGGGAAAAAGAATCAAGCCAATATATTCCCCATTTAGAGATACAAAACAATATAAAATGTGAATGGGTCAGATTCTGGATATTCCATCACATATTCAGAGAGAGAGTTCAAGATTGGGGTATCATCATTTCACCATTCTCAAGAAAACAAGCATGTTAATGCAGAGTATACATACCTTGAAAAGCCAAATGTCAGTTCATCAATTACCTAGGAAATCAGACAGTCATTAATGTATCTAGTAGAAGAAATGAAACCACCTAACCAGAGAAGAGCCAAATTATGAGTCAAGACAACACTGTTTTACAGTTTTGTGGGCTAGTTCCTGAATTTTTAATCTTCTACTTCTAACTATTGCACAAAATTGACTTTTCACCTGCAGATTTATTCCATGTCTTGTTGAAGCAAATTTATTACAGTTCCACAAAATTTCAAGTCTCCTAATAGCTACTATTTTACTAAAAACAAGGAGCATCCTGTTTAGCTAAAAGCTAAACAATTATAAATATGGCAATATGTTTATTTTCATCCAGATATCACAAATGTTAGGTTCCTGTGAAGGAACCTTAATTGAAACTGTCTTAATTGAAGTTGTTTCAATTAAGACAGCGGCTCCCAATCTTCTTTATACCCCGCACCCGCAGCGCAGAACACTTGATATATTCTGGCACCCCTTACAAAAGTACAAAATAACGGCAACAAATTATGCATATACATTGTAATTTTGAAAACCCAAGTTTTCGCACCCCCTGGAATATCGTCTCACACCCCTGGTTGGGAACTCCTGAATTAAGAGGTCAGCTTACGGCTCAAAGCATTGGAGATTCCAATTCAACTTTCAGAATACTTGAAAATCCCATTTTGCATTTGTGATAGGCCATTCTGCAAATTTTTACTTAACATCAAAACTATTATGCATGTCCACTCAACTCTATTCTCTTAAAATTTATCACTTATGGCGGAACAGATGAAATGGAATTCAACTAGCTTGAGTCATATAAGCAGATACAGATAGGAACAAACTATGGTATTTGCTGTAATTCTTATAAATTCTCTGCCTAAGTACTTCTTTTTTGCTAGACAGCTCAGTTTCTAATAATTTAAAATACAACATTTATGCATCATGCAAAGCCAGGATCACACATGGTGATGCTTGGTGTTTTTTAAAGAGTTTAAAACTGGAACATACAGATTTACCTCAAGAACCAGTGATTTATGCTGATTTTATATATTATAATGCAACACTACATAATAATTATGTAGCACAAATCATTTGTACCGTCTCAGTAAAATTGTATCTTCACTATTTTTCAGAGAGATTCCCATTGTCTTTTTCACAATTTCATCATTAACAGTACAAAGGAAACACATTTATTTTTTAATATGAAACAAGGTCAGAGAACACAAGCAGTTTCATTTGGAAATCTAATGCCCCCTTACATCTCTTCAAAATATGAACTTACCATTATATTGTGAAGTCAAAATTCTTCTATCAATCAACTGCCACTGTTTTTAAACTAATCTGAAATAAAAAAATATTGCAAGCCATCAGTTTATGTAGTTGTGCGAAACAAATACTATTCCACTAGCAATTCATTTGATCCCAGGTTTTGGGGTAAATTTTGATACCTTGACCTATCATTAAATATCAGCAACGTAAAGCCTCAGTGTTTTCAGTTCTCAGAAAACTTTCTGTCCACTACTCTTAAAACATCATTGGCTTTTCCAGCAATATCAAACTAATTTTGGTTGGTATGTTTTGTTTCAGAAGTCAGGAAACAAAACAGGCAGCAAATGTTATGACCTACCCACCACTGCTGCTCACAAAATTTTGGAAACATTATCCTTTTTGCCTGTGTTGAGGTGTTTTGAGTCTCTTTCTACAAGATTATTTTTTAAGAACTGAGTGGATGCCCAGAGGGGACTTAACTGATACCATCCAAGTAGGCAGGATGCTATTTCTGGTTCAGGAATATTTCAGTGAGGTTTTTTTGGGGGAGAGAATTATGCAAAAATGAAAGCATCCCATCTAGTTTTAGTCAATTTTCATTACAACTTTAACACTATTATGAAATCTGACATGGTGAAATTGGTAGGAAAGATATTAGTCATATAGCAGGAGCATAATACAGTCACCCAGCAAGTCATTCGCCCATAATTTTAGCATCAACTTTCAAGACTAAATAATTAGATTATAAAAATAATATACTGACCTTGTTCAAGAGATCCCATAAAACAGTAAACATCTAACAATTTTGGAGAAATGAAAAAAAATATAAAATTGCAGAGTCAAAAATATTTTCAGTTAATTTTTTTTCTAATTTTTGCTTCAACACTGGGTAAGGAAATCTTAAAATTTAAAAACATACTGACTAGAACTGTACATTGCTATAGATGCAGAATTAATCCATTTGCAATCTTATGTTCTTGGGGAAAATGGAAAAGATACTTTAAACATACATTAGTAAGTTCAAGTGAGAACTTGAACAATGTAACCTCAGTGAAAAGTGGAACGGATTGATGCTAATATCATGAGTGTTCATCTGGCAGAATCTAATCTCATCATTGGTTACAAGTTGATAAAAAGCTTTGAACAAACCATAGAATAAATGAAAACTAAACTCTTACCTCAAACTAGTAATTCCATCCTCAAAACCTAGTTAACATAAAAAAAATGCCCACTTATATATGCAAACACAAAACATTGGAAGTTTAGTATTACAAAACCAAAATAATAATAATAATGCTGTTTTTTCACCCACATTCCAATTGCAATTCAGGTATTTCAATATCTTTTTAAACTTTGCTAGATCAACCTTGAAGATAGAAGTAGCTCCACAGCAATTCCATGGACTAGATTCCTAATGTTTCTAGGTCTTCAATAAAACCTTTTCTGACAGGATTAGGCAGCCAAACTCAGAAAAGTTAAACAATAATCCAAAAGAATAAAGGATATGGTCATCCATTCCATTCAGTTTAGACTAAAGAAAGACCCCTGGACCATTCTTTTGACCAAGAATATACTATACTGAAGCAAAAGTCATTACAGAAGTAGCAAAGCAGAATACCAAACTGGCAAGCAAACAATATACTTAACTTTCTTTTTCCCCAAACCTCCTCCCTTATCAGTCTTTGACCAAATGAAGTTTCAGATTGTCTGGGTAACAGACCCTCTTCTGTGCATACCTGCTTCTTCTCCACATTCTTTTAGGTGACCTTGGGCTGGATTGGCAAGTCTCCTTTATTGGAGCGGCAATGTTTGCTCCCAGACACCCCCTTTGTCCTCCCGCATTCCATTCACCTCCCTCCCCTGCTGCAAAAATGTCAAGGGGACAGAATACAAAGCCATGCTACATAGATATGTGTTCAGGGTATATAGTTGAACAGACATTTTGCATTAATATAGCATTATGAAAGATTACATTTTTAAGGACATCCTGTTTGCAAAAGACTATGTAATTGCTTGCAGTTAAGTCCACAGGGTTGGACTTAAGTTGATATCAATAGTAGCTTACCACTGTCAACAGTTTTGCTTAAACAATTCCTCATGTTACTCCAAGTCCTAAAGATAAAGAAAGGTTGATTAATAGCCAAGAAAATTATTTTCTTACTCATGGAAGATCCAGGTAGGTGCCCAAAGTCAGGTAGAGCTAATCACAGACCTCCATCTTTAAAGTCAGTTTTATTAGCTTCTCATCATGCAGGCTGACAGCATTAAATATTTAAATATCAAGTATATTTTAATTAACACTTAAGAACAATCTGCCACATATATTCAAATTTTCCTCAGGAGACTAGAGAAATTCCTTATGCATTTTTTCAACAATTTGCAGTATTCAATTTGCTACAGAAAGACAGGATCAGAATGGGAAAATGTTTCAGTGTTACTTTATTATTGTTCTATTCATCACAATTTATGTTGGTATCATTTTTATGGTTACTCACAAGATTATAAAAAGAGCAATTAAATTAAAACCTTTATTAGAGCTAGTCCAGATGGTTTAGATAAGACCTCTCGCCAAAAGAACAATTGCTCCTATTATAAACCTTCATCTGGCCGATAAAGCTCTTTGGAAGGGAAGTTACCCCATCGTCAAAAGCTTCTTTCTGACAGGTGAAAGAAGATCTCCTAAGTCCATGGTGGCAAACCTGTGGCATGCAGAGCCCTCTCTGTGGGGCACGTGTGCCTTAAATCCCATCCATGAGCAATCTGCATCAAAATCTCCCCAGGCAAGTGGTTTTTAAGCTGGGTTTTATAAAACATTTTTGCTTTAGGCCTCCGCTGTATACAAAAAAAAGTTCAATCAATTTCAACTTGCGGGGGAAAAAAGACCTCGCAAAGTTGAGATTTATTGCACTTTATTTTTAGTCCCACATAGCGTCAAGCGTCAGAGCAGGAAAGGTGCCGCCTGGGGAGAGTGGCGGGAGCAGTGCGCTCCATGCGAGGGGTGGGGCCTATGCATGGGGTAAAGCAATGCGGCAGCACTAGCATGGTAGTAGACCAGTTGCTTCCCTCCCCCTGCCAAACACTTGCCAAAGCCGCGCAGGATAGGTTTGCCAGGCCCACCCCTGCCCCTCCCCCAAGCGTTTTTTTTTTTTTTTACTAACCTGCCTTTCAGCTGCATTCCATTTCTCCATTTGCTTCTCAGCCTTCGCCGCGTGTTTGTGGGACTATCGGTTAAAAAAAAAGGTTCCATCAGACTTTCTAACTTCTCCAAGATCTTTCTTTCCTTATCTGCCCCACTTGCTCTTCCCTCTCTTGAGCCTCTGGTGATCCACCTGCTGTTTTGGTGGCTCTGTAAGCAGAGCTGCAAAGTTGTCTGAAGTTCTCTTCTCTGACCACAGCTCTGCCTACAGTCACCAAAGCTGTAGCTGAATGGGCAGGTGAGGGGGGGGGACCTGCTCCACTTGTTCCACAGCTACTTTCAGTCGAGCCACATTGCAACGGCATTGGGCACAATACGCGAGGCGGCAAATAGCTGCGGCACACCGAAACCTACTCCATTTGCTGCTGGAGGGCTGGTTCGGTATTCGCAGCGGGCTGTGGAGCCTCAGAGTGCACCAGTCGAGGGCAGGCCGTGGCTGCTGACGGACAGTTGGCCTCCACGTGCTCACTGTGCGCGGGGCCGATGGTGTCAGGCAGCAACCGCCCTGGTCTCTGCCTTGCGGCAATGGCACCCCTGCCCTGCCCCCTGCCTGGTCTCGCCTCACCCCGCAAGCCTCCTGCCCACCATCCCATCCGCCAGAGATCTCCTGGATCTCCCCCAACCCTGGCCCCACAGATGTCCCTCCCCAAGAGCAACATCAAGTTGGCCAAGCCCACCCTGGCCACACCCACCCAGTCTACCATAATCACTGCAGCCATGCCCACCCGCTGGGCCATGCCCACCCAGCACCCAATAAGTAGAGTTTGGGTTGCAGTTTGGGCACTTGGTCTCTAAAAGGTTTGCCATCACTGTCCTAAATTGTTTCCGGACAACGGAATGTTTGATTCCAATTCAATGTTCTGTTAATATTCATTTTTCCAGGATTTGATTGTTAGATGATTTTTGTTATTTTACTTTATACAGAAATTTAACCACTATGTGTAACTTACCCTACTACTGATGATATACATATCAGTCTTGGTGCTTTGTTTGCCCACCTTCCTTTAATTTGCATATCTGGCAGGCAGCATGCTTAAATTCACAGGATATCCCCAATATGCTTGCCTGCTCCTTTTTAGTCTTCCCTAAGCTAAGAGTCCTTAGGAGAAATGCTGGTTGCAACTGCCTGCTTTAGTTTTAGTGAGAGAATATGCAGTACAGTAGAATTTCTTACAGGCATACTGGGAATTTATAGGATGAATTTGACAGAAATTTAGAGAATTTGAACTAAATTGAACTAAAATACACCTAAAAGTCATTAAAAGGTATATTCTTAAGGTTTTATAATATCGCTCAGCCAACCAATTTTCTGTATTTCAACTTGCCTTTTCTTGAGGTTCTTCAGAAACACAGCTCAATCATTAAGACCTACAAAGAGAATTATTTTCTTAGGCCACTAGCCTATTTTTTTTCCACAAAACATCATTTTTTCTTCCAAACCTTGCTGTTATCTACTGTATCAGTGTATGTTCAGTTTATCCTCACATGTATCAGCGACCTGATTCTGCATCATATACAGTAGATTAGTTTGTCCTTTTCATTCCAAATCCAATTGTTTAAACATTAACTGTTGCAGATAAATTATATGCATAAATCACAGCAAGTCACAAAAAATGAACAGATCCAAAGCATGCAAGATCACTCTTCAACTAAGAACCATAACTCAATAAATTGTTTTTCTATTTGTTTGGCAAGTTGAATAAATTCCAAACTCAAAATGTAATAACCACAGAAAAACCAGCTGACACAAAACACAAAGGGCACAAGTGGCACCCATCCTGTTAGCATTTTAAAGGGCCTTAAAGACTTGGCTCTTTACCCCGGTCTATAAGATGGGGTACACACCCTTCCTTATTATAAGAATGGGCATTTTTGTTGCTGCCTGGTTTTATTTGTTCCTTATTTTTACTATTGTTTTGTTTTCTTGATTTACATTTATAAATCACCCAAAGTCACTGGGAGTCTGGCAGTGTGCAAGTTTATTAAATACTTAACAAAGATTAACAAAACTATAGTGTAACTGTAGAAAAATGCAACTACAACCTTGTTGTAAATAAAGAACCACTATTAAGTAAAAACTCATAATAAAGGATTGTGACAATAAGAATACCTAAGAATCTCCTGGTAACATTGAAACTGTTCATAAAGTACTGCCTTTAATAGATTGTATTTTGTTCTTTACAACTTACATGTTTGATCATCTAAAGCTGATCCATATTAGAGAACCCAAAGGCCAGCACATCAATAGGTAGCATTCCAATATTTGTGAACACAGAATCTGTTAAGAGATGTTCAGTTCAGTAGTTGTTAGAACTTACAACATGAATGTAGTATCGTGGCAGGAAAGTTTGGATATTTTAAACTAAATTCAGATATAGTTAAAGTGAACACACTGAAAAGATTTTCGTGTTTATCAGCAGAAATCTAAAAAATGTTAACAAGTTACCAAGTTACTGTTGAGGTCAGAGAAGTTTTTAATAAACAATTACTTGAACTAGGCCTATCTGTATCAGAAACAATCCAGGATCAGACCAACTTTAGAGGATGCATCAGATAGGAGCGAAAGACAGTGTTCATCACAGATTATCTGCTGAACTATGTTTTCATCACACGCATCCCTCCTTGGACAAAACTTAATAGACTATTTAAATCTTACAACTTACCAATCCTTGTTCCATGATCACAAAATTTGTAAAACTCTGTAAAGAAAACAACAAATGTTTCAATGTTTCAAATTACAAAAGGGATCAAGATTCTTTTTAAGAGCATAGATTGTGCCTCAGTTTGAAACAAAGGTGGTTAAGCATTCTCATCATTATTTTCTCAAGAGTAGCAAATAAGCATCATCATCATGGCACAAAGGCACAACCAAAGGTACTGTTTCTATCTACTTAGCATTCTGTATCACAAGAATAGAAACATACCTTTACAAACAACATTGGCTTGAGATTTTGTACCTACAAAGGAAATGGGTGTTTATTAGTCAAGAACTATTTTTAAAACAAAACAGACCTAATAAGGGTTGGTATTTTGATTGGTAATCTTTAGAAACAGAGACTCACTTTTGATCTGCAGCCTTAACACTGATTTTACTGCCAGCAATGAGGACTCTTCATTTCCTCCTTTAGGAGGGAATAAAGTCTGCTGTATAAAACTTTCTCAGCTTAGCCTACAATTTTCAAGCAAAAGAAGCAAGTTCCTCTCACTTAAATTAGAAGGTGGATGGATGACACAAATATTACTGCATTTGTTCTTAGCCACAGCATGATTTTTGACTATTAGTGCAAATTATGTATCAGGACAGAAATAAGCCATCTCACCAACACTTCCAAAAGACAAAGATGAAATCATTCCGAATTTGCAGTTGTGCCATTAATCTTTTACTAAACAGGATTCTCAATGTGCAGTTATTGGGTGAGTCATGTTGCTTTCTCTCTGCCAACTGATCAACATTTTGATGCTTTTTAGGCAACCTCAGTCATACATCCTCATTAAACATTTCTAAAAGGTCACATGGCACAAATCATTAGATGAAGGCAACCATTAGGATCTAACTTAAGTTTTTCTCCTCCCTAAAATTTCTTAAGATGTTTAAATAAGGCTGGGATCAGATTATATTTAAAATCTCATCAAAATTAGGTATTAGTACCATCACATGTGTATGGCATAAAATATAGGTAGTTGAGGGCAGGGAAGCTTATTTATATAAGCTTCAGAGTGGGTCATTCCATGTCAAGAGGTCTGGGGGTCCTTCTTGACCATCACGGATTTCGATGAAATTTTGTGTGAACATACACACATCTCCAATGAACATTGGTAAAGTGCTACATTTGCCGTTCCGGAAATATAGTCATTTGTTTGACCCCATACCACAGCCTTCTACAGTATGACTCAGGTTCCAGCAATTTGAGACATTATCTCCGGCAATATTTTGTTGAGAAATAAAACTTGGCCATCTTGTACAACTTTTTGTCCTCTATAATTATTACAAAATAATTAAAAACATTCTCATGAGCAATCTCCATCTAGATAATTTGAAGCAAAGCTGGCCAAAAATATTGCGGCTTGAAAAAAGTTCGAAGTTTGGCTTTTTATATCTCTGGAAGGAAAGATATGATAAACGTGAAACTTTGTGGTAATAACTTAGCAATACAAGGTTTTTGAATATAAAATTTCATTCTCCTACTGTTTTCCAATAGTTTACAAATTGAGTATAAAGTTGACATTTTTTGTAAAAAAGTAGGGTTGGTTATTCATTGCTGCTAGCCTTTGAAGCAAATACATTGTATTACAAAGGAGTACAAATAAATTACCATTGGTTTCTCTTGGACGTTTTGGCTTGTGAATTTTATTTCAACTAGACAACGAATCCCACAATTGGAAATTAAAATCCTAATCCTGCTCAGAAATGTTGGCATTCATCACACTCTCAGATGTCCCTACCAACGTAATTTATCATCATTTGCAGGTACTAAAGTTTTATTTTTTTCAGGATATTACTCCGAAGGTTCCTCTCTACGTTTTGCAATACAATTAAATCCATGTTTTTTAGTGAATACGGCAAATCATTTACTTTTTTAAAACATATAGCTTTAATTAGTTTATCAGAGATCGCTACCGGCATTAGGCACTTCGGATCCATCTAAAGGTTACCGCGAAGAGAGGCTGGAGCTCAGTATCTCAGTACATTAAGCTTCCGCTAGTTCTCTTTTTGAATTTACTCTTTAGCCTACAGAGAAATTCTACTGAACGCAAAAGCTTGCATGCCGATTTCATAAGGGGAGCTATTATTCCCGTGCGGAATTCATTTTCAACTTTTTAGACGATCAGTTTTATGCTTTCCTCGACCACGAGGCCCATCTGGAAAGGCTGTTCCTTTGAGCCGTTTTTGTAGCACCATCTATGCTCAACGCCCAGCATTTTTCAAAATATGGAGAAAAAAAACGGAAAGCATGCCATAATCTAACGCCATCCGTGTCTCCCCCAACCCATCCACGAGCAACACTACATTTGAAAGGCCCAACTCCTCTTTAGAAAGTAGCAAAGCAACACGGGGGGAGGGGGAAAAGAAGGGAGGAAATACTCACAATACTTACCCAAGAACACAACCCAAGGCAGATCCCAAAAGAGAAAGCGCGGGCCGCAGCCACTCTTTTTATAGACGCTGCGTAGCTCTTGGGGGTCACGTGACGGGTACGTGTCTTTGCACAGCTCCTCCTCCTGTTACCACTCCCTAGAAAAAATGATTCCTACGCATAACAGTCCCCCCTCCCCCCACTTCAGCGCCACAAGTAACCAGGCCGTCCGCCCGGCGCAAGTTCCACCCTCTCCGTGGTGGGCTCATTCCTGTGGGTGTGGCTACCTGACGCGAAGATTGTTTCAGTGGGGCTGGGGGGAAAGCAAGTCAATCAACAAAGACGAAGGGGGGATATGTACTTCCGGGGCGTTTCTCTTCTGGGGGTTCGCTTCCGGAAGGGTGTTCGGGCTCGTCCCACCCCCCCCTTGGAGGTACGTAGGCGATGTATTTCGGTCCCCTCGGGATAGGGAAGGAGCTCGGGAGAGTTGTTGTCTCTCCTTTCTTCCCACCCTCAGGCGCACTCTAGGACAGTCATTCTGCGGTGCTTCCCAAAAGGACGGTGTGGATCTGCATGCCCCCCGAATTTCTAGCCTCACTTCTCCCCATCTGGGTATCTTAGCAACGGAGTTTGCTCCTCCTAAAAGAGATTTCTATGTACAAGGTTGCCTGTGCTCCTCTTCCTTGATCTTTTGCACCTTCCCCCAAATCTGGTGAAATCTGTCAGTTTGCAGTTACTGTACCTACCTTTTGATTCACCCATACATTTCTTCCTCGGTTTTGTTATTTTAATTAATTGTCCTCTTTAGGTGCTTTTTGTTAACGTACGAAGTGTTTTGTTTCTTTGCAGTTTGCTCAGGTTCTTGGAATATTTGGATCTAAGAAAGCTGTTCTGTAGTGAGAAAGATTTAAAAAGCAGAAAGTTGGAAGGAAGGTTAAATGCTGTCTTGTAGTCCGCTTGCTTGCTTGCCTCTTTGGAATGAATAGAATAGAATAGAATAGAATAGAATAGAATAGAATAGAATAGAATAGAATAGAATAGAATAGAGCTGGAAGGGACCTTGGAGGTCTTTTAGTCCAGCCCCCTGCTCAAGCAGGAGAACCTATACTATTTCAGACAAGTGACTGTCTAGTCCAGGGGTAGGCAACCTTGTCTCTTTTATGACTCATGGACTTCAACTCCCAGAATTCCTGAGCCAGCTGGCTCAGGAATTCTGGTAGTTGAAGTCCATGAGTCATAAAAGAGACAAGGTTGCCTACCCCTGGTCTACTCTCTTCTTAAAAATCTCCAGCGATAGAGCGCCTACGATTTCTGGGGGTAAGCTGTTCCACTGGTTAATTGTCCTCACTGTCAGGAAGTTTCTCCTTAATTCCAGGTTGCTTCTCTCTTTGATCAGTTTCCAACTATTGTTTCTCGTCCTGCCCTCTGGTGCTTTGGTTAATAATGTAACCCCCTCTTCTTTGTGGCAGCCCCTCAAATACTGGAATATTGCTATCATGTCACCCTTATTTCTTCTTTTCTTTAGACTAGCCAAACCCAAGTCCGGAAGCCATTCTTAAATCTGCATGTATTGTTGTTTGTGTGAAAAGATGTTATAGATAGAACTTCATTAAAATTATGTATGGTGTGGAGAAAGTGGAATCATCTGATTTCTTTTGAAAAAGCTGAAAAAATTATTTCTCAAATTGTTTGTAATGTTGGAAATTATTTTTTCCTGTTTAATTAAGAGAGCCAACCAAAGTTCCTGATTATCAGAAGGTTTAGGACAAGCCAGAATAATAATTCTGCATATGAATAAAATAAATTAATATGCAATTAATTGCTTAAAATAGCTTAAATGGAATTTATAAGAAAAATGTTCATAGAGAAACTTAACAATTTAAAGTCTTTGCTCAGAAGAATCTACACAACATCTATTCCTACAATGGATTCATGAGGTCTTTACGCATCTTGTTAATTTTCACCGTGTTTCTAAATTTGTGCATGGTAATCTGCATATAATTATTGCTGATATCCAGTGCTTTTTTTTCTAAAAAAAAAAAAAAGGTGCCGGAACTCACACACGTCATACAACCCGCCTTGCCTACCTTACAAGGTTCCATCCAAAAAAGGTGCCAGAACTCCGTTCTGGGCGTTCTATGAGAAAAAAAGCCCTGCTGATATCTATCTGCCTTTTAGATTGAAGTTTACTTATTTTACTACTTTATTTTTTTTTAAGTTTTTATTTTCCATTTATTCATACAAAATACAATTAAATTCCTAACCATTGGTACCGCCTCCCCATTCCCCCCAGGCTGCGTCCACCCTCTCTAATCCTTCCCCACTTCCCTCCTCTTTCTCTCCTCCACTCCTACTCTCTTCCCCTCCCCTTCTCCTCTAACCATCCTACTTCCTCCCTACTCCTTCCTCCCCTCTCATCCCTCTCACACACATGAACGCAGCATAGGGGAAATGCCCAAGCGTTTACCATGTCTATATTATCATTACCCACCCACTCACCCACCCACCCACCCTCAACCCTCCCCCCCTCGTTTCCCAGAGCAGAATACAGGGTTATTATTAAGAAAGTTAACAATAATGAAAAAGAAAAAAGAAAAGAAAAAAGAAAAAAAATCATACTTAACCTTTAACTCCCCTTAAATTAAGTCATATAAACAAATCTCTACAACAATTACTATAAAATTTACTCATAAAATAAATGAAACTTTATAGTCCCATATTTTTTCTGAATATAATCTACCAATCTTCCCCATACAATAATATATCTTTCTTGTGTATGATCTTTCAAATAAGCAGAAATTTTTGCCATTTCTGCAAAGTTAGAAACTTTAAATATCCATTCTTCTAAAGTAGGCAATGAGTCCTTCTTCCAATACGAGCCTACTAATAACCTTGCTGCAGTTAATAAATTCAACATTAAAGTAGTTTCTTTGTCATTTAAATCCACAAAGATACCCAATAAGAATAATTGAGGGGTGAACTTTATCTTCCTTTTAAAAATCTTTTGAATGTTCCACCAAATCATAATCCAAAAAGCCTTTACCTTTTTACAATTCCACCAAACATGAAAATATGTTGCATCCGTATTACCACATCTCCAACATTTGGGTTGTAAATTTGGATACATACAAGATAATTTTTTAGGATCTAAATGCCATCTGTAAAACATTTTATAAGAATTTTCCCTCAAATTTTGAGCTTGTGTAAATCTAACATTTCTAATCCAAATTGTCTCCCATAAGTCCAATGGGATCGGATCCTGGATATTCTGAGCCCATTTAATCATATAGTCTTTAACCAATTCTGTTTCAGAGTCTAATTCTATTAAAGCATTGTAAATTCTTTTTATATGGGCCTGACTCTGGCCTTTAATCTGAATAACCAGATTTCCATCTTCTAGTGTTATTCCTTCTTTTTTATCTACAGTCCACCTGTCCACTATTTGTAAATATTGAAACCATGACTGTAGAATATTTTCTTGCCTTAATACATCTAGAGATTTTAAATGCCAATCCGAACCTGACCAAGTTAATAATTCTTTATACGAAATTTTATCAAAATTCATCCCCTTAGAAATCCCCTCAATTGCATGTCTAGGAATCCCCCAGGTAGGTATTTTATAGTTTAACCTATAATAATACTTTTTCCAAACTTGAAGTAAGGCACTCCTCAAAATATGTGACTTTCTTATTAAAAATTAAATATGCATGCCAACCATACATTAAATCCCACCCTTCAAGAACAAGAATATCCTTATTTGTTAAATTAATTCGTTGATTCTCGAATCTGGATCAACAAAATCTCCAATGTCAAAACAAATAACGATGGAGATAATGGCATCCTTGTCTTGTCCCTTTTTCAATATTAAAAGTCTCAGTCAATCCCCCATTAACAACAATTTGAGCAGATTGTTGCTGATATATAGCTTTAAGTGCATGTAAAAGATTATCCCCAAAATTCATTTTCTCTACCAGTGAGAATAAGAATTGCCAATCTAATTGATCAAAGGCTTTTTCAGCATCCAAAAATATAAAAGTCACAGGAATCTGATTGTTCTTATCCAAATACTCAATTAAGTTAATAATTTGTCTAACATTATATTTCATGTATCGCCCTATTATGAATCCTGATTGATCACTGTGAATCAAATCCTTCATTATCTGCATTAATCTATTTGCCAAAATTTTTGTAAAAATCTTGTAATCTACATTTAATAATGATATCGGCCTAGGCCTATTCTTAGGCTCTGTAAGATCTTGATCCTCCTTCGGAATCAATGATATAAACGCTCTTTTCCAAGAAGGAAAACTTGTGCTCCCAGCAAGATACTAATAAAAAGTTCCTTTAATGGCTCCAACATTTCTTCATATAAATTTTTATAATACGTCGACGTCAATCCATCTGTACCTGGAGACTTTCCCACCTTTAACTGCTTGATAGCTAAGCCAATTTCCTCCACAGTAATTAAACAATTCATCCCATTTTGCTGTTCCTCAGAAAGTTTAGGAAAATGTACTGATTGTAAATATTTATCTATATCCATTCCCTTTATATTATCACTTGAGTATAGTTTTGTGTAAAAATCTAAAAAACTCTTTTTAATCAAATTTTGCTGAAAAACTTCAGTACCTTTATATTTTACTTTCTCTATAATCCTAGCCTTCTGTTTCTTTCGTAACTGACAAGCTAACCACCTCCCAGGCTTATTCGCATTACAAAAAGTATTATGTCTCATATAACACAAATTGGTAGCCACCTGATCTGCCATCAACATATTAAATTGTTCCCTAAGCATCTTTATAGAAACCTTTAGATTGAAGTTTACTTATTTTACTACTTTATTATTAGTATTTCTAAAAGTGTTCGCTATTGTGTCCCTGCAATACTGTAAACTAGGGGTGTCAAACTCGCAACATCACGTTATGTGTCATGATGTATCACAACTTTTTTGCCATTGCCGGCAATGGGGTGAGTGTGGTTTTGCCATGACACATCCGGTCTGCAGGCTGGCAGTTTGACACCCCTGCTGTAGACTAATGCAAAAAAATACAGCTAATGGATGTTCCTTTTTGTACTACTATAGAAATAAAGAATTCTAAAGTATTTATCAGGCTCTGTTAATTCTGTGTAAGTCTAAAAGTCCATGTTCAAAGCTAATAAACCTAATTTCAAATTATGGGATATTTTACTATAATTTCTAAACCTTATAATAAGGCAAAATAATTAAAAGTGAATACTGAGTATCCTGTGTCACTTCAATAAAAGATTTGGGTTTAGGACTGGATACCAATCCAAGATTAATGTTGCCATACATTAAATAAACAAGATTAATGGTACTGTACTGCAGTCATGTTTTTCTTTCATAAGAGATGGAAACGAACTATTGAAAAAATAGAAGCAGATGGAGAATACTACTAAATAAAAGAACATAAAACATATTTTGTTCTTAATAATTAAAATAATTATTAATTGCTAATAATTGCTCATTGTTAATAGAAAACGTAATGTAATATCTGATGTTTTCAATCCCCTTTTTCATGCATTGAGCATACCAAAACCCTTCTTGCCATGGGTGAAAGTAGAATTCCAATTGTGTCTGTTCATTGCAGAAGAAATTTGGGAAGGGCAGTCTGCATACATTAATTAAATAAGAGTGAATATAAGGAAACTTTCTGTCTGAAAAATACTATATAGATATAGATGAACTGATCATCATTATAATATACAAAATAAATAAGATACAACATGCTGCTTTTTGTTTTGAGGTTGGCAAATAAGAGTTCTTAGCTAAACTCTTAATTTGTAAGACTTATTCATGTACAGCACTTGTTGCTACATTCATAATGTTTTGTCAGCATAACATGGTTTCATATCCATAGATCCTTGCAATGTTCTTAAAGAAACCCATTCTGATGTCTTCTGAATATTTTTCTGAATTAGTATAACTACCAGGAATATCATTACCTGGCTGGAAACTAAAGAATCTATTTGCATATGGAAGATACAGTTTTTATGGTTGATGTTACTATGTAACTTTTTAAAACATATTGAGTACATGCACATATACAGTATAGCGTACTTGTGTTAACTCTCATCTTGACTAATATATAAGCTGAATACAGAATTTACTGCAAAGGAAATTTTTATTGTTCTTCAATATGAAATAAATATAGTTTTATTTTCAATGAACGTCTATTTATTAGTATCAGTTCTATATGTATTAGTGAGTGAAAGGTATGTTACCATTATTGGCCACAAGGAGAATTAGTAATCTGCTGTATCGAAGCTTGAGTCCTTGCTTAGATGCCTCAGAGCATTGCATAAGCTGGAGAGGCCCCTTTATCTACATTATAAACCAAATTGTTTACATTTGCCCTAAAACGTTTAATGGAATTTCCATCTTATTTTGACGTTTGATTATTGAGGGGGATGGCAGAAGTCAAATCCTATGTATAAAGTGTTGGAAAGAATGTATATACATTGTACTTGTTTTCGTTAAGCATACTGTAAATTAGACCAGAGGATTTGCATAATTTTATTGGTCTGCCCTTCAGAAGGCTTATTAAAACATTTATTCATATCTTCCCATCAATTACTGAAAGACTAGATGAAAATCCCAGTGTAATTCATGAAAAAAGTAACATTATCTTATAATGCAACATTACCTATCTCCTTTATTGGTAACATTATTTGTTAGTCAGCTAGCATAATTACACTTGGAATGTTGAGCAATGGCAATATTGTTAAGAGAAACAGTTGAGAAAAAAGCATTTACTACTCAATTGCCAACCTTCTGTGTTTTTTCTACATAGCTGTTTAACAAGGAAATAGCATTTTATGTGTTATATTCACACAAATCACAAACAAATTGATCATATGAAAAAAAATGTCATGCATTACAAAACATATAGAAATGGAGAAGCTCTTTCTAATTCAGCGGTGTATTTTTCCATCGTTAGGGTTGCTCCACCTGCAACTGGAGCCGTCATGGAGAAAAGTGGGAACATTCAGTTGGAGATTCCTGATTTCAGCAATTCTGTTTTGAGCCATCTTAACCAGCTTCGCATGCAGGGCCGGCTATGTGACATTGTGGTTAATGTGCAAGGCCAAGCCTTTAGGGCACACAAGGTAGTGCTGGCTGCTAGCTCGCCTTATTTTCGAGATCATATGTCACTCAATGAAATGAGCACAGTCTCCATCTCTGTTATCAAGAATCCCACCGTATTTGAGCAGCTCCTTTCTTTTTGCTACACTGGGAGAATATGCCTCCAGCTTGCCGATATAATAAGTTACCTGACAGCAGCTAGTTTTCTACAAATGCAACATATTATAGATAAATGTACACAAATCCTGGAGGGAATTCATTTCAAAATTAATGTGGCTGAAGTTGAAATGGAATTAAGCCAAACAAGAACAAAGCATCAAGAAAGGCCTCCAGAATCTCATCGAGCTTCCCCGTCTCTAAATCGATCTCTGAGTCCTCATCATAGCACTCCAAAAGGAAGTCGTATGGGCCAGGTTAGCACAGTTCTGGACATTCGGGAACTTAGTCCTCCTGAGGAGTCTACAAGTCCTCAAATAATTGAACAGAACTCAGATGTGGAAAGCCGGGAACCCATACTGAGGATTAATAGGGCAGGTCAATGGTATGTAGAAACAGGAGTGGCAGACCATGGTGGGCAGGGTGATGATGATGTTAAAGTCCTTGGAGCAGTGCGAATCAAGACAGAAAACTTGGAGGAGTGGCTGGGGACAGAGAATCAGCCATCTGGAGAAGATGGGAGCAGTGCTGAGGAAGTCACTGCCATGGTGATTGATACAACCGGCCATGGATCAGTGGGACAGGAAAATTACAGTTTGGGCTCATCAGGAACAAAAGTAGCCAGGCCAACCAGCACTGAAACAGACAGGTAAGACTGAACATTATTAGTGCTTTTTAATAATAATACACCTCATGCCATGTCAAAGGTGCTGTAAAAATGTTAGAATAGTTCAAGCACAATTCTTGCAGTGTAAAGTTCATAATCTAAAAACATCAAAGTGAAACAAAACACATTAAAAAGTTGATTGGATGCAGTCTGCAGAATAACTTCAGAAAGTGAAGAAGTAGTGAACTGGACAAAGAGCCAATTAAGAGTATGATAGTTCAATCTATCATGATTTTTCAGGATGTTTTCTATAATACATCTTATAAAATCTTATAAAAGCAGGTTAGTATATTTCTAGCTTTATTATTATTTAACTTATTGATTTCTATTCCACTTCTGTTCCACCTTTCATTCAAGAACTCAAGACAGCCATACATGGCATTGCTAACCTCTCTATTTTTCTCACAACAGTGGGGGGGGGGGAGGTGACTGCTAAAATCACCCAGTGAACCTCTGTGATTGAGGCTGGATTTAAGACTTCTAACTGCTAGTCCCAATACCTTAACCATCACAACACACTGGCTTCTTTTCTGGCTTTCTAGCACCAAGAATTTATTACTTTGCTGTATTGGTCTGAAACTAAGTTTTGTTTCCAATTTAATTCTAAGAAATGTGTAGTCTGCACTCTGTTTGGAACTTAAAATACTAATTTTAAATTACTCAGAATAAATCTGTAATTTATAATAAAAAGGTGGATAGGGCCTTTAAGTCCCATGTTTTAAGAATTGCTCTATTGCGTGTCTGGAAGAAATATTATAGGGTAAATTCTAGAATACCATTGTGGGGAATTCCTGGACACGCTATAGAAGGGATAAGGAAAGGCGTGAAAAGGGATAGGATTTCTTACAAGCAATTGATTAAGTGGGAAGGGAATAAGTGGCAATTAAAATCAATGGAGGATTTATTGCAAGAAAACATTATTTATTCTTGGTTTCAGTATAGGCAGTTATTAGAAAGATGGAGTACAGATCAAAAAACGGGTTTTATTGTGGAAGACGCCAATTTGTTGAAACAAATCAGAGATCAAAATCGAGCCCATATAAAAAGAGTTTATAATGCTTTGGTGGAATTGGATTCAGAAACAGAATTAGTTAAGGATTGTATGGTTAAGTGGGCTCAAAATTTTGAAGAGCCAATTCTATTAGATACATGGGAGATAATTTGGGTTAGGAATGTTAAGTTTACCCAAGCTCAAAATTTACGAGAAAATTTTTATAAAATGTTTTATAGATGGCATCTTGATCCACAAAAGATGTCTCGTATGTATTCTAATTTACAGCCCAAATGTTGGAGATGTGGTTGTATGGATGCAACTTATTATCATATTTGGTGGTCTTGTAGAAATATAAAGGCTTTTTGGATTAAGATTTGGTGGAATATTCAAAAAATTTTTAATAGAAAGATAAAATTCACACTACAATTATTTTTGTTAGGTATTATTGAAGATTGTGATGGAAAAGAGATTATTTTAATGTTGAATTTTATTACGGCAGCAAGGTTATTGATTGGGCAATATTGGAGAAAAGACTCCTTGCCTACCTTAGAGGAATGGTTTCTTAAAGTTTCTTATTTATCAGAAATGGCAAAAATATCGGCTTATCTGAAAGACCATTCACAAGAGAGATACAACTCTGTATGGAAAAGATGGGTAAATTTTGTTCAGAACAAATATGGGATTAGAAAGTATTATTTAGCTTTTGAATAACTTATTGTATAAAGTTGTTATGTTTAGATTTGTTGATTTTATTGTAATGGAGTTAAAGGGGTTTAAAATTTTTTAGGATTTATGTACAATTGTTTGGTGTTTATTTAATTTTTTATGGGTTTTTTGTTGTTTTTAGCTCTGTATTCAGCTCTGGGAAGGGGGGATTAGTGGGAGGGGGGAGGGAGAGAGGTGGGGAGGGATTTTATTGTAAAATCTTTATAAAAATTACTCAGAATAAATCTGAATAAACAATGTATATATATTCTTTTCAAAACTGAAATTTTAGTAATAGACAAAAAATGCAAGATACTTTTAAAAGATAGTCAGAATTTTTCTCTATTTAAAAACAGAGAATTGCATGCTTGCAAATCATCATGAGGAAAATTTCCAATCTCTAGCTTGGTCTGTCTAGATCAGTGGTTCTCAACCTTTCTAATGCCGTGACCCCATAATACAGTTCCCCATGTTGTGGTGACCCCCAAGTGGGTGTGGCCACCAATAAGAGGGAGTAGGAAGCTAGGGAAAAGGGAAAAAAATGGCGGACAGTGTGGTTTGGCGACCCCCATGAAATGGTTGTTTGACCCCAAATGGGGTCCCGACCCACAGGTTGAGAACCACTGGTCTAGATTGTCACCTTTTATTTCAATTGATTCCTGAAAAATCAGTGGATTTTTCTGCTTTTGTTTTGTTTGAGCAGGTTGTTTTATTTATTTATTTTAGCATAACCATACAATGGCTATAACTTACTTGCCAGTTCAGATATTATATTTATTTATGTATTAAATTTCAACCAATAGTTACTATAAACCATGATTTGGAAAACTAAACTTGATTTATTAAAACATTTTATAGTCACCTTAGTGATTAAGGATAGTTTAATCTGAATTAGGCTGTTTTGTTTGGAGAATCTTCTTTCTTAACTCTAATATATAATATTAAAGAAGTCTGCCTGGTCTTATATATGAGGAGGTATCTGTGGCTTGTGTATCAGATACTGTATAACCCTGCTTTTATTACGTTTTAATATGCTAATTTTTTTGTTTAACATTTTATGCAACTACTTTTGGAAGTTAAGAGTGCAGATTTAGGAGTCTATAAAAACTCTAAAAAAATTCTTAGTACTTCATATGCAGGCAGTGTACAAATAATCTCATGTTTCCATTTTGACAAATTTGTTTCAGGCAAAACCATCTTTTCTTATATTAATTTATTTCCTGACTTGAAAAATTAAATTGCTTCATAAATCCTCAAGCTACCATTTATAGTTTTAAGGTTTTCTTAATTTATTTCTGTTTGCTTTATATTTTATCCAACCCCTTTTCTCCCTATTATCAGTTAGTGATGAAGCAGAATCTCCATTTTTTCTTATTTTTTCAGAGCATTTATATATTACACAAATAGCTCTTAATCTCATTTTCCATCTGCAGATTTAGCCCTTCAGGTAGTGTGGTTACTGTAAATGATCGGTACAGGTCAAAAAGTGAATCTCCATGGCGAATGGATGAACCTAAGCAGCCCAGTTCCCAGGTAGGTGTCCCTTGGTGAGCTCTGTGATGATAATCATGATGCTGATGTTTCATAAGAGTAGCTATAGAGAGGCACTTTGCCATTGGTGTGTTTATGTGTTATTGGGTTGTGTGTTGAATGTGTGCTTATATGTGTGAGACTGAGAGAGATAGAGCAAGTATTAAGGTGCTATGCTAAGAATGGCAAGACCCAGGTTCTGGTCTTTCTTTACATATGGAAGCCTAGTTGAGTGACTTTGATCAGTCATTTATCAGTCCTAGATTGGGAAGTCAAAAGTTACTATCTACTAAGCTGTAGTTTACTGCAATGTGTGCATAATATACACAAACACACAAGAACGCACAGACACACTCTGGTACTGTGTTATATGGTGGGTTAGTGGTGAATTACACAAGAAGGTTGGTAATTCAATATCATGAATCAGACAATGGCATGAGCAGGAAGAAGATTTTATTGGAGTTATTACAACAAAAAATTGGAATAGATGGCAGGATAAGCAAATGAAAGTGAGAAAAGAGAGAAGGTGTCTATATATTTGGAAGACTGTAAGAATAACAATGAACAGTTTAAAAATTGATATTGTGTGTTGGGAGTGTGGAGTAAGGGAGAATTGGAAAGACTGATCCAGAATGGAAGAGAGAAATGCTCTATTATTAATTATAATAGAGTATGAGTACTTCAGAAAATAGATCAAATGAATTCTGAGAAGGAATGTGAAGAAACTGATTTTTATATTATCTAAACACTATTAATCAGTTAAACTAACAAGAAGAATTCTACTAATGTATCTGAAAGCCATAAACCCTCGTTATGTTTCAGAATTTTATCTTGTTTCCTAACCCTGTCTGCTCAGGATGCACATAGAAGTATGTTAAAAGCAAAACTATAACATAGGTATTACATTTTAGAAATGTGACCTTAGTCAACCCATGGTCATAAAAAAAACCCTCTGCATTTGGGTACGGAAAATGTTTTTATTTCATCTTAGGGATTTGGATTATGAGCCCAGGACAGTTTAGTGAAACATGGCTGTCCCACATTATTGTGTATCAAACTAAACATTTTTAATTTTGTCCAGCAGATGAATATGCAAGGCTCTTACAGACTTTAAAGTACTTTCCTCTCTGTGCTAAAAAAAATTGCTGGGGTTGTTTAATATGCTTAAGTGGAAGACTTCAAGGACAATCCCACATAAAGCTTGGTTAAAATAAAAAAAAATTCCAGTATATGTATTTTTAAACTACATGTAGAATATTAAAAATTAAAACTTTCCACGGTACATTAAAATTTCATGCCAATCAAACCATTAACTGGCATGAATGTTAATGTACCATGGAAAGTTTTAATTTTTAATTTAAACATGTAGTTTAAATATATATATATATACCAGATTTTTTTTATTTTATTTTTTTAAAATATCTTGTTTTTTGCAGTGATCACCATATGATTCCAGGAAGTTTCAGGCAAGGCATAAACATAACACGCTTTGTTGTTTTGTCTTAGTCTTTAATACTCTGAGAAATAATGCTTCTAAGTCTGGATGTTGCTCATCAGTCATAAAGATGTCTAAGCCTTCTTGTTAACGTCCATCATAATATTTAGCCAACTTTTATTTTTCTTCATAATGTTTCTGTTCTAGGTGGAGGAGTCAGCTATTGTTGGAGTAAGTGGCTATGTGGAATACCTCCGTGAACAGGAAGTATCTGAGCGGTGGTTTCGTTATAACCCACGTCTGACTTGCATCTACTGTGCCAAATCCTTCAACCAGAAGGGTAGTCTGGACCGACACATGCGGCTTCATATGGGCATCACACCTTTTGTTTGCCGGATGTGTGGCAAAAAGTATACCCGCAAGGATCAGCTGGAGTATCATATCCGGAAACATACAGGCAACAAGCCTTTTCACTGCCATGTCTGTGGGAAGAGCTTCCCCTTCCAGGCTATCCTCAACCAGCACTTTCGTAAGAATCACCCTGGCTGTATGCCTCTGGAGGGATCGCACAGCATCTCTCCAGAGACCACTGTCACCTCCAGAGGGCAAGCTGAGGAAGAGTCTCCTCTTCAGGAAGAAGCTGGTCTGGCTGGGGAAACAGCACAGGGATCTGTATCGACTACTGGGCCAGATTGAGGCCAGAAGCCCAGTGGATCAGGAGATCTTCTGTAGGATAAGCAAACCCCACTGGGATGGTGAGCTCCTGTAGTTGGTTGTGCAATGTTGCCACGGGACAAAGACACTCCTGAGAGGTTGCCAAAACAAAAAAGATACAGTACTGTAACAAAGTGCTTATGGTTTCCCTTATTTTTTTCCATCTCTTTGGAAAGGAGAAAACAAAAACTGGGTTAACTAACCTCTGATTCAGGGATTAACAACTTCGGAGGGGTGGGCTTTTTTTAAAAAAAAAAAAAGTATTCAGTAGTGAACAAGGAGAAATAGATTTTTCTTATTTCTTAGCAACAGATCCTGTGGTCCTATGGGCTGCAGAGTTCTAGCTATGTGTATGCAGAGCATCAGCATCTGTATTTATCAAAATCATTATACCTCCATAAGATACATGGGGTCAGGAATTGGTTTTTGTTGTTTTGTGCCCCATTCTTATTTCCCAGGTAATTCTTTTTTGAAAAGAATGGCTGTTGTAGTATAACCAACCATGCCTGAGTATGTTTTATTTTATTTTGTTTTGATGTATCTTTTAAAAAATTGACCCATTATCTAAGGGCTTTTATTAGGGGGAGGGGGCTTACCATTTCAACATGTGTGGCCTTGCCTGTTTGTTATAAGGCTAGCAATTTTTTGAGCAGTATTTTAAAGATGACACAATATTTAAATATTTAAGCTACTGAAAAAGAAGGCAGTAACTATGAGGTTTTGCCATGTTTGAATGATATTTTCAGTTGTGAAATATCGGCAGTGCAGAACACATCACAATTCTTGCTTATTCTATGTGTGCTGCAAAAACTGAAAAGTAGATTTCTAGTTATGATGAATTTTTAAAACTGGCTTTTCCCCCAAAGGTCATCCTTTGCCTCCCATGAACTTGATCTAATGAAACAGCAATATTTGTATATCAAAATAGATGGATCTCAGTGGGAGAAGAAATCCTGGTTTGTCTTTGTTTCTCTGTTTGGTATTTTTATATGAAAAACATGCAAAAAAAGACTCCTACAATTCAGTAGTATAAAAGCTCCCATTTCCTATAAGCAATGACAACTTTTCCTTTACACCTCTATAATATTTCACATATGAAGAAGGGAGATCTCTCTCTCTTTCTCTCTCTGCCAAATCCAGGAAATATGCATCTTGTGTTTCTTAATATTCTGTTTATAACTGAAAGGATACATGTGCAGAAGAGCAAATATTTCAAATAAGTGTCTTAGATTTGCAAAATAAGTTCTGGGTTGGTATTTTAGTAGCAATACTGTAGAATAAAGGCGAAGAGTTGGCATAATGCTAATATTATAGATTATATGGAACTAAAATGGCTGAAACAAAACTTATAGGAGAAAGCTTGAGATGTGGTGGAGTCATGAAATGAATGGAGAGGAATTACTGTACAATGTACAATTACTGTACAGCTTCTTGATAAACATGCTTAGATTTGTATAATATTAATATTTCGCCAATCTTGCCCTCTTCCTCCACACATTTCTTGCTTCTAAGAATGAAACTCTTGATTATGCTCGCAGGAAGAATGAAAATTGTTTGATACTTTCCCCTTTCCTCCCTATGTGCTCATTTCTTTTTTTATGTTAACTGAGGAATTTGTTCCATTCCCCAATTCATGATAAAGCAAGCAGTGATTTTTCTATATGATCACGAAGATAATGATTCAAAACTCATTGAAAAGGTTAATTCATGTTTGTTTGATAAGCTTGATAAGATTCTCCCAACCCCTCCCCCCCACACACACTTTTCTTCTGAATGAAGTAGGGAGGAATAATAGATGGGAATATATCTATCTATATGCTGCTTTAATCATAACTTTCAAATCCACCAAAAAGAGACAATTTACATTAAAGAGAATTGGAAAATATTTCTAGTTAGTTTATAACAAAGTTTTTAAGCATTTAAGAATAGAATTTTAAAAATGTTACCAAACTTGTAAGGCATACATTTATTTATCTACAAGTATGAGATATATATAAATATATATATAAATATATAATTATAATGGGAATATTTCTTTGCTGAATTGATGACAGTGTAGCATTTCTATATAAGAGTTTCCTTCAAAGCAGAATGCAGCAAAAATCCATACATATTAAGGGGGCAAAGAGTTGTAATGGATTGTTGAATGTGGCATTTACAGAGCTGTAAGTTCCTTTTGAACTGATACTGTGAATAGAGGAGGGACCAAGTAATCCAGAATTATGTCACCGGTCATTACCTGCTTGCTGGTAGACTCCTCTTTATTTAGCCTGGCCAGAATCATTGGGCATTTCTTGCCTCTTAGCCCAGGCTTCATTTTAAAAGAAAAATAAAGCTTGTGAAATGTGCTTTTAGTTGCAGCCATTGAAAGATGTCATTTTTACTTGCGTGCAAATGAGCCAATATTCTTGCCCATTCTTCTTTTGAACTGGGTTTATAGCTTTAGTTATCCAATTAAGAGGCTTGTGCCACCAATCTTCCCAGTCTCTTCTTTCAATAAGCCTGGAGGAGTTGGGAAACACTTATTTCCTTTTATAAGCAACACAGTTTATTTTGAAAGCTGGACCCAGACAAATGTGAACCTTAGATATGATTCATTGAAGCAGACAAATTCAAATCACATTTTGTGAAAGTGATTTATTTCAACAGGCTATAATTACAGTTAACATTGGGTTTATGTTCAGATAATATTACCTCTAGATGCAATCATGGTGTCAAATGAGACCAGGATTCAATATTTTGTTTGTGTGTCTGTGTGAAGGTACAAGTGTGTGTACATGCAGAAAATGACCTTGATCTGTGGCTTGATAAAATATAAGAGCTGCCAAAATACCCTGAGCTTTGTGGGTTTATTCAGAGAGTACATTTGTAGTGTAAACAAGAAATCCTTGTAAACATGTATTACTGGAGAAGCTAGACAGAAGGGTGGATTTTCTTGTGTTCTTGAAGAGCCTGACACTCTTTAAAGAGTTAGAAGCCTTGCAGGAATACATGCAAGTTGTTATGATTTGTATAATCCAAATCATGCCAAATATTAAGGCATTGTCTCTATTGGCAACCGTTCTTCTGTCCCTGCCAGGTGGCAGAATATAATTGCTAGAATGGGCAGTGGACCAATTAGCAAAAAATCTAACTTCATTTGACCATTTATGTGGAAACCCATGGTGTTGATACGGCTGGAGCTGAAAAAAAAAACCTGTTGCACTGTTTGATTCTCTCTTGAGATCTTACTTTTCCCTCACATTCTACCTTGATTGTTCCTTTTTTAAGTTATTCTAAACAACGTGCTATTTATACAAATAAGTTATGAGCTGATGGCGCATAAATTCGCAAGGTGGGTTTCAATACTTAAACTTGTTTCAGGCTATTATGCTTTGTGTAGCAAAATGGAAAGTATTCATTTTAATAAATGCTAGTAGTATTTGAACGAAAGTGGCAAATAAAAGTGTTTGTATTAGACAGAATTGAAGCAAACCTGTAGTGATGCTTACTTTTTTGTTCTGCAATGAAACATTTACTTGTGCTGGAATTTTTGTATTCAGTGCTTTAACCTTAAAGGCAAGTCTGGTAATGAGCTTCTGGAAGTTATTGTTGGAGACATTAGGCATTGGTTATATTGCCATCCGTTATTCTCTAGATTCTATAGTGTAGATGTGTTGGTAACCTATTTTTTTATTCAGTACATCTGAACACATGTGCTAAATTGATTCATAATGTGACTCAAAAGGGAAGTAAAGTAAAACTCTTTAATATTATACCTCATTACCTAATGCCTAACTTCAAAAAAATGTAATGAGTAATTTATCTCATTTTTAATGAGACTTGGTAGGTTGGACTTACATTTACCTCTTCTCTTTCAAAGAATGACAAAGCATTAGGAGGAAAGGATAATTTCATTGCCCTGCACTTGCAAAATGAATTTTCAATGTGAAAATTTATCTTCCTGGGTCTGCTGCTATGCATTAATCTTATCAAAAGCAATAGAGTTAAATTAATATAATTCTTACACATATCATTGCACTGCATGTCTGAATTGCCTGATTTGCTTTAAAATAGCTAGTGTAAACAAACGTAGAACAAAAAAAGAGGAAAAATAATCTAAACAATTGTATTGCTTTTTTGTTTGAGAATGAGAGATGCTTTTTCCAAATATTTGTGAGACTCCAACTTATATTTAGAGATCCACATGAACTCAGGATGCAACTTTGTCGTGTCTTCGGTGTCTGAAAAGGTTGGTGATCAATAAGCTGTATTTTTTTTAAGAATACAGAATTTTTTGTCAGAAGAGAGCCTAATCTCTGAATTTGAAAACATTTCTTGCTAAGAATTTTAAGATTTTATGAGTTTTACTTCTGATGTATTCAATTTCTAATGCCTGGTTTTTCTAAATTGAACTGAGTTGTATATTTGATAAACTTTACTTGTTCTTTCATTTTGTTTAAAAAAAACCTTCTCCATGATTTGACACAGAATTGCTGTAGAAAATTCTTTTGCTGTTTAATGGCGCAGTTTTAAAAATATATATTACAATGAGCCTGAAAAGTGGAATTTGGAAATACGATTATAATTGGAAATAACATAAAGATTTTGGCAGTTGTGTGCTCTCCAAGCTTGTTTCAGTATAGTTTCTGAACGTTTCGTTACCAAACTAGATAACATCAGCAGGATTTTCTTGTTCTGTTCTCCTTAGCTTATAAATGTCTTGTGTGCCAGTGTGGTCAGTTGGTCGTATGATTGATTAATTGTTTGGAGCTATATTTAAATTCTGAACAGCTGATTATATTGATCAAGCATATGAATATGTAAGAAACCAGACCATTCGAACGACCAATCAACAAGAGAACCAATCAGCTGCTCAGAATTTAAATATAGCTCCATTATTTCATGATATAAAGATATCAGTTTTTTATTATTGTAAGTAAACTCTTTTTAGTAAAAGATTCATTTACTTATTAATATAAGATCTGTAAATATACCAGAATTTTACATAACTAGCAAAAAATATCCAAATGTAAATGAATTAAATTCAAATCCTATTGGAAATTTCTGCTTATGCCACATTTTTTGAATGAATCTCATAAATTGTTTTCAGGAGTTGTGTAGTCCTGGACTATTAAAGGATCAGATGCTATATATTGAACTATAGTTGATGTCTATTGGAGGAGACCCAGGATTCAGACCTAAAGGATTCTGTTCTGGTTCAAAGGATGAGATCTTACATAGTTTTGCCAATAGGTTATAGGCAGATTAGGTAAATCTGTTTTCTAAGATAATGTTTATAACATTATTAGCTCTTTTAAAAGAACAATTAGATTATTTGTCAATTGTTTGCAAAACATTGGTCTTTGAGAGGAAGAGTTAAAATTAAATATAGCATTTTTAAAAATGTCTTAGTAGTTAATAAACTATCTCTACCATTCTGATTGTGAGTTCTGTGCTTCGGAATTTTGAAGGGTATATTTTCTTTGATATAAATATTTTGAATGAGTGAAATATGATACTTCTGTTTCTTTTCCAATGGGCAAGTTCACCAAAGATGGCTAAAGATGCTTAGTTGGAGGTGGACAGGTATAATATATGTTTCTGGAAGCCAATCTTGGAATTGCAGATTGAGTTCTGAAGATCAGGTATATAACTTTGACACTTGTTGGATCAGGCAAAAGATTTTGAGAATTCAGCATGTTGTTTCTTGCAATAGTAGGCTGATGTTTGGGGGATGTCCTTTTTAGCACTTCTGATTTGTAGGTGGGCTGCCTCTATGTATGCAGGGTCATGTTTCATTGAGATATATTTGCAAATCAGTTCTGTATTGGCAGTTATATTCCTTTTAATTTGCTTAATCCTTTTAAATAAGTCTGTTCATGTTTGTCTCTGTATATTGTGACATGGAATTCTGTATATCAATTATAGGAAAAGTGACTACATAAAACAGATTGGAGAATGTCACAACCAGGGAACAAAAATATGTTCAATATTATAAGATTATGTGTCGTTTTATATTCTGTAGCATGTCCTTATGGAAAATCTATTTACTTATGCCATTAGTTGCCATTTAAGTCATGTTTTCAGTATACAGGTAGTCTCATACATTTAATGACCATTCAAAGTTACAATGTCATTGACTGAATGACAGTTATGACCAGTTCTCAGATTTCCTGCCATTCCAATACCCTCCCCAGACACATGATCCTGATCTGGACACTTGGCAGCTGGTTCGCACTTATGACTGGTTGCAGTGCTCCACAATCACATGATCACCATTTGCTACCTTCCTTGCTGATTTCCCCAGAAAGTCAATGAGAAAGCTGGCAGGGATGATCACAAATCACTGCCCACCCATGCACCCTTCCACAGCCCCTCTGTGCTTGCGCCATGCTAGTCACATGCACACTGTCCCCAATTCTTTCATACCTTCACTGAACTTCACCACATTTCACATCACCCATGTACCCTTGCACTCCCTCACCAAGCCTCACTGCCCTCATGCCCTCCCCCATCCGATAGCAGCCACTCATTTACCTGCTGACTCGCTTGAGAGCCACCTGGGGCTTGCAATGTCCTGTCAGTTTCCCCACTGACTTGATCTTGGGGAGCCAGCAGGAAGTTTCCTTCCCTAAGGACTGTGAGATTTGATTTACCATGGCAACTAGAACTGCAGGGATTATTGTCACTAATGGATATGATTGTATTTTATGACCTTGTGGCATAGTGACAGAAATTCTGATCCCAATTGCTGTCATAAATCAAGGACTACCTGTATATCTTTACACAAACTGTTAGAAAGCATCTGGGGTTGTAAGACATAATACAAAAAAAAATCGCTGAATTAAATGACAGAAAGTTCATTAAAATTTTACTTTGCTTGAAGTCCAAATTTTCATTTAATTTTGTCAAGCAAGATACATTCCAGCATAAAGCACTAAGACAATTCTCATGATCAAACCATTGATTCATTTTGGTAGCGAAGAGCTAAAGGAGGTGAACATTACATGTGCAGGGAACGTGGGCGTCCTGTCAGAACGTGCCCCTGCTTTTCCTGGGGCAAGATGAAGGAGAAAGCAAAGCCTCATCTGAGTTTTGATAGTGCGCTACTTTGCCTGCCAGGTTTGATCAGTTTTTTTTTTTAATGGGACATCTGGATTTTTGTAGTCCAATCCTGGTATACCTGCATTTACAGATATATTTCTGAACATTTGTTGGTCCTTTACAAATTTGTAAATCTCAGATTGTTTAAAACTTTTAACCGGTGCCTTCCACTTTCTCCTTCTCTCCTGTGAAGCCATTTCTTCAGCACAGGGTATATTTTTACCTCTTCTGCAGGTGCTTTTCTTTATAAAATCTGTATAGGCCCATAATATCTGATGTCTTTTTGCTCCAGGAATATAGGGCTTCCTATATGTCTTGATCTGACATGTTCCCATTCTTGCCTCACATGGCATTGATTTCCTTAATTGTTCATGACTTTTTTCATTGTTTGGATGTTTTGTTCTGAGAATGAAAACTACTACTAGACCTCCAGGTTTTTTACTTTTTCTATGGCTTAAACCATTAGCAGTGTTTGAAAATACCTTTTGCCTTACTGTACGAACTACCGTGTTTCCCCGAAAATAAGACCAGGTCTTTTTGGGGGGGGGGGCTTCCAAAAGAGGCGCCAGGTCTTATTTTCAGGGGATGTCTTACTTACCTGTGTCACTGACAGCCCCGCCCAGCCAGTCCACTTCTTCTGCAGCTGCATTCCGGCCTGCATTTTGCAGTCAGGCCTTTCCAGAAGGCCTCTGCAGCTTGGTTCTCTCAGAACTGTGACTGAGAAATGCAGGCCTGGCTATAGAAGACGCTGCAGAAGTGGGCCAACAAGGAGAGGCCTGGCTGCAAGGTAAGTGGGTGTGAGGCGCATGGGGCAGCTCCACCTCCCACCCCTGCCCTAGCTTGATTTTTAGGTATGTGCCTCGCCCCAAAACTAGGGCTTATTTTTGGGATAGGGCTTGTATTAGCCCCCCCCCAAGCTAGGGCTTTTTTCAGGGTAGGCCTTACTTTCGGGAAAACACGGTAGACTGGAATAAATTTGGGGTTCTGCTGAAAAGAAAGCAAACTCAGATTTGCAAGTGAATGTGAACCAGAAGCCTATGAAATTATTCTCGGTATACAGCTTTTTTTTATTTATCAGAGATTAATATGTTCCCCATTTGATACCACTGCTCATCAAATGCCATAAAATCTAAAGCCAGAGTGATTCCGGAATCAGACCTTGATCTTCCCATATTCTCTTGTCAAATAAGTCTGGTACCATATTTATTGACAAATATCCAGAAATTGACAAGTCATATCAGTACTGTTATTTAAAAACAGGCTCACATGTTTTAATACTACTTCTATATAATTTGTATTAAGAGTTTTGTATACAGTTTTAAAATGTTGCCATTGATGTCTAAGATAAGGATTTTTTCTCACAAATACTGCCTCCAGTTGCAAAAATTGAGTTTAATTTTTTCTTAAACATTAATGAGTTTTCTTCTTCAAGATTACAGCTGTCTGTACAAAAAGGACTTCTTCATAGCCAATTCCTGCACAGCTTCCCAAATCCTGATTCTGTGTATGTGTGTGGGTGTGTGGATGGATGGATGGATAGATAGATAGATAGATAGATAGATAGATAGATAGATAGATAGATAGTATTATACCAACCAGATAGAACTGAGATTCCATCTAGCAAGTAACTCCTTCTTTTATTATTTATTTTTATTTATTTAATTGCTATATTATGTTTAGTTAAGCTCTGTTTCTAAGAGCAGTGTAATAGAGGTCTTCTATATAATCTCCCCAACCCTCCTTTGTAAAGAGGCTGAGAAAGTAAATAGTTATGGGTTTCAGTGAGAGTCACTCAGTTCTGTTCTGAACAATGGAAGAATTAAAAGAAATTGCTTCTTTTTGCTTTTACCACTGCAAATAGTTCCTTATTGAAATTGGTACAAAAAATACTGAATGCAGCACTCATCAAACTGTTTCAACATTAGCAGAATGTTGCAGCTGCATATGAAAAAAACTGTTACTTGGATAAAATGAGTTGCTAATGCATATTTAATCTACTTGGGTTTTCTCCATCTATTTCTCATTTTAACTGAATCTTCTATTCCAGTGATATAAGCTATGTTTGCTGCATACCCCTGAGAGATGATCCATTCTTCATTTTATTGAATTGTTTGCATCAATATATTCATGTAGGCATACATCTAACTGTGTTGTTTAGAAATCTGCAGTGAATTTTTAGATCCATTATTTCTGCATTTATGCTGATTGGACCATGCTAAATGTTTCCATTTAAAGGAAACAGAAGCTGTAATCCTTCACTTACCACATAAAGAAGCTTTAATTCAGTAACTGAAGTGCTAACACAATTTGTTTGGTAGGTATAACCTTTTTGCAGAAAACAGAGTTCAGGTGACTACCAATACAGTTTCAATCTACAAGATCTCCTGGAAGGCAGATGTAATCTAAGAATTTTTGGTCTGACTGCTAATAAATTATTGCTGTGAATGGCTGTTTAAGTGAGAGAATTGGAGCTGATTACAGAATCTTTAGTGACCTTGTCTCTTCCCCAGAATTAATGTAATTAATGCAGCCAAATGATTGCTGGAGCAGAAATTTATTGTTTTCTAACTGTTGATGAAAAACTGAGAAATTTGAATGACGCATTTAAAATTGCAGTGTAACTTTTTATAAAACATTCTTCTTCAGTTTTTGCTTCCTTAAGCAATCTGCCCTTGATTCCACAGTTTAATAGTATAAGGTAGAAGATGCTGTATAATTTGGAAACTGGACACAATGGGTCTGATACAATAGCATGTGTATTGGTGAATTTGCAACACTCTTACGTTTTTCACTATGAAAAATAAATACATTTCTGACAAGTGAATTTCTCTTTGCAGAAAACAGATATATGAAATAAGATCTTTTGAGCTGAAATATGGATACTTTTCTTGTTGAAAAACTATTCAATTTTCTTTTTAAAAATAAACATACAATTGCTTCTGGAATATTAAAAGCACACTGAAAATTCTTTCCCTTCTGTAGATGCTGCACTTTTTTAATGCAGAAGGGAACTGGTTCATTTTGTCACAGTTATGCCTACTTTTCCTGTAAGAGTCTTGTATCTTGAGATGTCAAGTTCATATTTCATAAATGCTTTGCTTGCAGTCAGTCTCCAGCAGAAAAACTTACTAAATGACCTGTACTGAAGAGCATGGAGAGTTGCATTACTAGGCAAGGTGGACCAACTGACTTAGCATAGGATTGGTTCTTATGTTCCCAGTTATTCTGGGCATTTGAACATCAGTACCTGATCTCCATGTATTCTTATATTCACATTCCTTGAAAGCAAAAGAAAACTTGTCAAGACAAATGCATGCTGAATATAGGTGTATCTTTTGTTCCCTTTGTTGTGTCATCAATGGAGAGAGGCTTTTCTAATATTGAAATACAGTTGGCAATGCGTATTCTTTAATACACTTTTTGTATGCACTTACAGATTTTCTCTCAAACAGACAATCGTGTTTTAATTAGTTGCCAAGTTCTATAAAGGCAAAAGATTGTGGAGACTATGGAGAAATATAGTCTGAATCCAGGTTGTGGGAAGGAGTCTTTCTTCTGTTGTGCTCCCAATCTGGATCTCTGTTCTGTAATTTTCACGAGGAAAACTCCAATGTCTTTGGCAAGCAAGTTGGCTTCAAAAGGGATCCTTGAGAAAAAAAATTGAAAACCATCATTTTAAGCGTCTTTACAATACGAAGTTATGCTTCTTGCACTTGTGCATCAGTTGAATCATCCACATTAGCTATAATGTAAAATAGCTGCCTTGCCCTTATTCATTCCATTAACATTCAGTAGAGAAAAGTGGGGAAACTAAATGTGAATCATCATGTTTGTTGGAAGCCCCCAGCTTCTTAGATTAATGAGGTACCTGAAATTGAGGCTAGGAAAACAAATGCTTTAATTCACGGGTGTCAAACTCACTGTGTCACGTGACATTCACGACATATCGTGACTTTTTTTGTATTGCCGGAGCTGGGGTGGGAGAGACCTCCATACGATGCAAACCAGCCCATGGGCCGCCAGTTTGACACTCCTGCTTTAATTGATGAGCAAGCTCTATAGAATTCCTTTTCTTATGCTGTACTTGAATGGAATTGTGTGATTGGAGAATCAAAATAATATGAAAGTTCTGTTTAAATAGGAAAGAGAAAGTAAATCTTACCTTATTGTGCTAAGAAATTAGGCTGAGGATTATTTTGCTCCTGCTGGCTTCCTCCCATCAAATTAAACATGACAGAAATTGCATTCCTTTTCTCTGAACTGAGCTTGTGAATAGATTTACTTTATTGAAGAGCATCAAATGCAATTCTTTTTATTATCAGCCTCCTCTCAGCCTGTGGCAGCACTTAGTCACTTAGCAGATATTGAAAAAGCCAAGCAGAATCAGTTTTGGAAGAAATCCAATTAGTGCTTGAATGGGAGATTCCTAAAGTTGTGGAACAGACTGGGCAGAAGGCGGTGACAAACCACTTCTATATTGATGCCAAGGGAATTATAGAGACATGCTTGTCGGGAAATAGACTCAAAGAGAACTCTGTATTTTTACTTTGTTATTAGAAAAATATTAGTTAAGTATCTCAAGAATGATGATTCTAATCTACATGTATTAGAACAAACTACAGCACGTAGTGATGATGTTTTCTGTGAGATAATGGAAACAAACAATTATTTTGTATGTTAATAGAACTAAATTTTAGAGATGGCATTCTGTTTGCTAAATCAATAATAATCACAACTGACAATCAAGATAAAACAATGGGAAGGTCCTCAAAGGAAATAGAGAAGCACAGGGTAGCTGAGTAGAAAGTTCTCCTATAGAAGCCCCAAAGAAATAGATAAATGAGGAGTAATTATGGCTACTTATACTATAAGGGGATCATAAAAAAGTTATTTTCTTTATGTTGAAAACTGATACATTGTGTGTGTGTTTGTGTGTGTGTGTGAATAATTTATAACTCATTTGTTCCATCAGATCAGTGACTTCTAGTTATTCTTGTCCCATAATCCATAATAATGAAATATGCATGGAGTCACCTTTTAATAGTAGTGACACATGGGAGATACTGTTATAGAGGAAGATGAAATTGATCTCTTTAACTATGAATAACTGGGGAGCAGTGGCAGTACTGGCTTGTATGCCAGTGGTCTATTTTGAATAACATCTACTACCCTCAGGAAACGTAACTTGAAAGAACATTGAAATTAAGTGTTGTTCCTCTTGCAGCCACTGGGTGTTGGAAATGTAGTCTGCTCAGGAAGAGAATGCTGTGCAATGTCAGCATAGATTTCTGTGCCTCTTTCTCTGGTGCTATTTATTTTACCACTTGGTTTATATATAACTAACTACATTATTGTTTATAGCTCTTGACCATGCATACCTAATATAGATTTTCAAGAACAATGCTTTTTTTACTACCTTGATTGCAAATCTTTATATGTTGAATTAAATATCTACAAGTATCTTGGCATTTAATGAGTTTTATTATACAGTATAAAATGCACCATGGAGAGATTGTCAGTGCTTTGTGGAGAAGGCATGTTTTACAATATTTGAGAATGAATTTTTGCCTCCCCCTCTCTTGTGGCTCTTGACAAATACCAATTCTTCTTCCCATGCCCAACGGTATTTGGGCCAGTATTTCCAGGATGAGGATGCTCATATGAGGATTCAGATTGTAAACTAAGTAATTAATCTGAACATTTTGAGAAAAATCACTGCAGTGAGGCATAAGAAACATGAGCAAGGCCAGATGCTACATGGGTGAAACTTGCAATCCCTGATCTCACTGTGAAACTGAACCCCCAAGGTCTTTGCGGAGCCTGCTGGCAGATTAGCACATGCATATACAAAGAGAAAGAAAGCATTGTACACTTGACTTGTGTGACATAAGGCATTGTCTGCATTATTTCAAGAATCCATTTAATTATTACACTTTTTTGCTATTATTTCCTGCAAGCCAGCTTTTATATGTAGTATGGCACTTTAAGTATGTTATTTTAACTTCTTCTTTTCCCTTCTTTTTCCCACAAGCACTTTAAATTCTATGGATATTGTTAGCTATTATGTACAGGAGAATTGTCTTAGGTAGAAAATAGATAGTACAGGTTACCATGGTGCAGAGTGATTAGAAGTTTTTGGCAGCCCAGACTAGTACAAACAAGACACCTCTCCTTGGATGTTTGAGCAGCTGCATCTCTTGTAAGACTGCCCAGCTGTCTCTGTGTTTGCGAGCATGCAGAACCACTTCACTGGGAGTCCCAACAAAGTGTTGCTTGTGCATATTTCTGCATAGGCAGACAAGCTGGAACAGCTTTCAAAAGAGGTGTTTTATTTGCATAATTGTGCATGTTGAAAACATTTTTTAACACTTTGGACGGCCCTGATAGTTTAACACCTTGGATGGCTCTAGTATTTTCTGCATCCCAGGAGGTGAGAGTATTATATATGCTCACTATTCTTTACTGGCACTTCTGTACTCCTCAAGACTATGAAAGCAAAATGCTATGTTTGCATCCCACATTTTAATTCAGATATATAATATTTGGAAAGTTGGCATGCAAGGTTGCATGTGAAATAGGATAGTTTTTGCTTATTGAAATGGGCTGTGTTTCTGCATCAAATCAAGTTTTTGGAAAGCTACAGAGCCACAAGAAAATGCAACTGACGCTACTAAGGTTTGCAACATACAGAGAATTGCAGCAATAAAGTGGACTGAAATTTCATGAGATCAAATTGTATTGAAATAATGTCAGTTTTAAATTTTCTTGTAAATATCTCTGCCTTAAATAAGTTCACCTTGTACTGTTTTGGGGTGGGAGAATGGGGCTATTGTGGTGGCAGATGGAAAGCTGGGCCTGTATTGGGTAGTATAAGTTCAGTTGCCCTGCTAACCTGACCACCTGCGTTGTAGAGATATTCTATCTTTTGGCCGCATCAAATGGAAAACAAAAGTGGAATGGTCGGATTGCACAGATACAGTACTAGGTAATTTTCCTGGTTTTAATGAGATTTGTAAGAATTTAAGAATACATTGTATGAACCTGAAAGAGATGGATAATATTTACTTTTCTGTTGAAGTATTGAGACTTCTTGTTGTATATTCTTTTGGGTTGCTTTTTATTGCTTTGAATTACCAAGAACAATGTGTTATTTTGGAGCAGGCTGAAAAGTGATCCAGCTGTTTGCAAATGATTGGTAGCAGAACTGCCCAATTTCCAGGCCCATGCACCCTTTTATTATCCCACTGATCCTTAAGCACATAGAGGGAGAATAAAAGGGAAGCTAGAGGGTAATGATTTTGTAGGTGTCCTTTTGATGTAGGTAGAAGAAGATAAACTATAATAGTGAAGATAAAGGCTTACATAAAACTTCTCTTAAAGCAGTTTAGCAACAAAAAAGCTCCTATCAAACAGCTTTAAAATGTGAATGAGAAGTTAGCAACTTGGCTAGAATTCTGACAAAGTCTATAAGTACATACTTGAACTTCTGTTTGTATTTTAAAACAAATGCATTTTTTCTCTTTAACACTGTATAAAAGAAATGTTATGCATGTGAGTGGTTTGAGAAATAAATGGTTTAATATTCAAAAGTGGAGTATTTTTATTTGCCTGCAGTTTTACATGCTGTATTTAACACAGAAAATACACCTTGAAGATTCTGCCAAAGATTTATTTTTTATTCATAGAAGTTCCCTACTGTTCTTTTTCCCAGGCAATAAACCTTCTGGCCTGTTTCTGTCCTCGTTTTATAGTCAGAAGATGGTAACACCTCATACTCAATCTACTGTAACTCATAAGGATGAGCTACATGCAATCATATGTCACTTAGAATAATCTTTTTCTGATGATTGACTATAGGAAGATTAACCCCAAATAACTGCAGAGTTACGTCTGCCTTTGTCAGAAGTTGTAAATGTCTGCTCTTCTTGATTGTGCAGTTGTCAGAGAAGTTGTTTGGTTTCTCATGGAATATGATGAATGATAAAGAGCCCCTGTGGTAGCAGGTTCCATACTTTTCCTTGGCAGTGCAATAGCTTTCTATAGTTATGGTACATCCTGTATCACTTAGAAAGAAGCAAAATGCATTGAGAAAAATGGGAATTTCTTTGCCATTCACTCCACATTTATGTATGTGATCTCTTCAACCCCCCCCCCCAAAGGGTGTGAGAAGAGCATTGCATATCCATAGAAATCTATGTTGCAAGAAGCTTCATCCTGTTTCCCTCTGTAGTAGGGATAGTAAATACTATCTCCTGGGAAATCTTCTAGTATATTAGTGCACTTCTGGCAGTTCTCCAATCAGCTGACTGGCAGAGTGCTTAGGAGGTTATCACTACATTTATGGCAACCCATGCAGTTAGCAACACAGATTTCTGGGTTGCCTGTCCATGTATGAGGTTCTTCCATTCTTTTGGAAGATAAAAGCTCCTAGGACAGGGGTAGGCAACCTTGGCTCTTTTATGACTCATGGACTTCAACTCCCAGAATTCCTGAGCCAGCTAAGCTGAATCAGGAATTCTGGGAGTTGAAGTCCACGAGTCATGAAAGAGCCAAGGTTGCCTACCCCTGTCCTAGGACAACCCCCCCCCAACCCCAGGTGAGGTCATACATCAACCCCAACTTTTTCTAATCTATTGGTAACCTCAAAATAAAGATACAAAGAAACTGCTTAATCTTTTTACCCCTGCATTGGACACCTGGGCTGCAATTGATTAAGCATGTCTCTCTAGGAAATGGAAACCCTTCAAGATAAGGAGAATTTTTGATGCTGGGCCTCACTTAAAACTGGGAAGAGATTTACACATCTTAAGATCAACACATTCCATGGGACAAGAAATTACCCTCTTACTGGACTTTAGAAATCCTCAAGGCAGGAACACTTCAGTTGACATATCTAATAGACTTCACATCAAAGTCTATTATTTCCATAAGTACTATCACTCTCAACATTCTAACTTTGTAGTCTATCTTCTTCTGCTGAATTGTACGTTTTGATTTGCTGTCGAATAAGCTCTACCTCACTTCAAGCAGGTGTCCTGTGCTCATTTACCTGGCCATGGAACAAACCAGCATTTGTACAATACAACCATTGTTTGGAATCCTAAGAATTAGTTTCTTCTCTTTAAGACTACAGCTCTACACTGAAAAGAAGCTGGCATATTAATTACAAAACATTTTACAATAAGATAAGTAGCATGTACAGGTAGTCCTTGACTTACAAACCACAACTGAGCCCAATGTTTCTGTTGTTAAATGAGCTTTGCCCCATTTTACGGCATTTCTTGTCACAGTTAAGTGAATCACTACAGTTGTGAAGTTAGTAACATAGTTGTTAAATGAACCTGGCTTCCCAAATGACTTTGCTTGTCAGGTTGCCAGAGGAGATCACATGTCCCCAGGGACACTGCAACCGCCATAGGTATGAGTCAGTTGCCAAGTGTCTGAATTTTTAATCACATGACCCTGGTAATGCTGCAATGGTCATAAATGTACAAAATGGTCATAAGTCACTTTTTCACTGCCATTGTAACTTCAAACGGTCACTAAATGAACTGTTGTAAGTTGAGAACTACCTGTATATCTTTCTTGATTCAGCCCTCAGAATGGGGTAGGAAATATTAATTGTACAAATAGTCTTGACTTACAACCACAATTCAGCCCCCAATTTTTGTTGCTAAGCAAGGCAGTTGAGTTTTGCCCCATTTTAAGTCTTTTTTGCCACAGTTATTAAGCAAATCATTGTGGTTGTTAAACAAATTTGGCTTCCCTCCTTGACTTTGCTTGTTGGAAGCCAGCTGGGAAGATTACAAATGGTGATCACATGACCCTGGGACATTGCAACTGTCATAAATACATGCCAGTTGCCAAGCACCCTAATTTTGATCACGTGACCCTGGTGATGCTGCAACAGTCCTACATGTGAAAACCAGTCATAAGTCACTTTTTAAGTGCTGTTGTAACTTCAAATGGTCACCAAATGAATGGTTGTAAGTCAAAGACTTCATTTAGAGCAGTGGTTCTCAACCTGTTGGGGTCGAACGACCATTTCACGGGGGTCGCCAAACAAGGCTGTCCACCATTTTTTCCCCCTTTTCTTTGGCCACGCCCCTGGCACCCGGTGATGTATAAGTGGTTGGGGGTCACCACAACATGGGGAACTGTATTATGGGGTCGCGGCATTAGAAAGGTTGAGAACCACTGATTTAGAGGGTCAACCATATATTTGTATAATTCCCATAATTTCTAATGCTACACTGTTCTCCTAAATATCTACCATCTCAGAGAAGAACTCTTGAGATAGTGTGATTTATTGAGAAAATGCTCTGGAATCTCTCTGCTTCTTGTAAGTAGATATATTTCTGACATGCATGTATTGAATTAACTAACTATGATTCCAAGTTGGATTAGCAAATAAAACAAATACTGGATAGAAAGAAAAAACCACAAAGAATAGGGCCACAGTAAACGATGTAGTGACCTTGTTTGCAAGTGAAAGCTGGATTTTGCTGAATCAACCCCAGGGTCTTATTGGAGCAAGGCTACACTGTAGGACAGACAAGTAAATCACAGAGGGGGGGGGGCTCTCTTTGAAAGGTTACATTTATTTGGCTGCATGCCCTGAGCAACAGACAATGTAACAGAAACACAGACTTGGATGTTGGTTTAAGAAGACGAGCATCGCAAATCAGAGGTTTTAGGAACAGGGATCAGCCACTTTGCCTAAGAAAAGGAGGGCATTTATAGCCGCTTCCCTAATGAGTACTATAAAAGGTCTGTTGGCATTGAAGACAACTTTGTTCAAAGGGAATGAGCGACCGGAAATTACAACTGTGGTTGAAGCGGCTGCTTCGCTGCCTTCTTCATTTACCTGATGAAATAAAATGTGCATGCTGAATTAGGAACATTCCTCAGAGACCAAACAGAAACAGTTGTGGGGAATTTTTTCCCCTTTGACAATATTTTTTCCCTAAGAACATCATTAGGGCTGCAATACTTCATAGTTAGGATCAATGACTGTAGGTACATCAAAGCTGTAGATATTTCCTTTTCACCCATAGGACAGGAAGGCTTCTTCCCTAAAATGCTGCTGCAATACATGCATGCAAGGTCTAAAAATATGTATTTTATTTCAAAATATATCTTTTAACCTTATGCTAGTTTAAGCAAGCTTGACTGATTGAACTAAAAGAAATCAGTCATACAACAAAATCATCTGATCGGTTTATATATCTATATTTCAGATTCAGCCCTGTATTTTCCCCCTTTTTCATTTGAACCATACAGCCTTGGAAAGGGAAGAGGAATTTACTGCCAAATTAAGATTAACCAGACAAAGATGTGGAAAATGGGATACAATGTGTGTATATTATGCTTTCTGATTTACTATATGAAGCAATGCTTTTCACCTATCTTAACACAACACTGATCTTCTCAAATGGTGTTTGAGACTATGCCTGGGATAGTTATTTGTTATCGAAGAGTTCAGAAATAAAAGCTAAAAGTCCTTAATGGTACTATGTCTACATGGAGGGAAGTAAGCAGTGAGGTACCACAAGGTTCTGTCTTAGGCCCAGTACTCTTCAATATCTTTATAAATGACTTAGATGATAATATAATATAATAGAATATTCAATATCTTTATAAATGACTTAGATGATAATAGAATAGAATAAAGTAGAGTTAGAGTAGAGTAGAGTAGAGTAGAGTAGAGTAGAGTAGAATAGAATAGAATAGAATAGAATAGAATAGAATAGAATAGAATAGAATAGAATAGAATAGAATAGAATAGAATAGGAAGGGACCTTGGAGGTCTTCTAGTTCAGCCCCCTGCTCAAGCAGGACAACCTATACCAGACAAGTGACTGTCTAGCTTCTTCTTAAAAATCTCCAGTGATAGAGCACTCACAATTTCTGGAGGCAAGCTGTTCCATTGGTTAATTGTCCTCACTGTCAGGAAGTTTCTCCTTAATTCCAAGTTGCTTCTCTCTCTGATCAGTCTCCAACCATTGTTTCTTGTCCTGCCCTCTGGTGCTTTGGAGAATAAGGTGACCCCCTCTTCTTTGTGGTAGCCCCTCAAATACTGGAACACTGCTATCAGTGTCTCCCCTATTTCTTCTTTTCTTTAGACTAGCCAAGCCCAAGTCCTGCAGCCGTTTTTCATATGTTTTAGTTTCCAGGCCTTTGATCATCTTAGTTGCTCTTCTCTGATTTTTTTTCCAAACTCTCAACATCTTTTTTGTGATATGGTGAAAAAAATTGGCTGCAGTATTCCAGGTGTGGTCTTACTAGGGGTTTATAAAGCGGTACTAATACTTTGCAAATAGAAGGGGAACTTATCAAATTTGCAGATGATACTAAGCTGGCAGGAATAGCCAACACCCCAGAAGACAAGCTCAGGATCCAGATGGATCTTGACAGACTTGAACACTGGGTCCCAACTAACAAAATGAAATTCAATGTTGAGAAAAGTAATCTTACACTTAGGCAAGAAAAACCAAAAGTACACATACCGATTGAGTGAAACCAGGCTTAATAGCAGTAACTGTGAGAGGGATGTTGGAGTCTTATTGGACAATCAATTAAATATGAG